AGATAGAAATTATTAGACCCCATTTTATAGAAGAGACAAAGACCCAGAGAGATAAAGTATCATTTTCATTGTCATAGAGTTAGTGAGTCACACAGTCAGGATTTGAGCTTAGATCTGTTCAGTTCCGAAGTATCTGCCTTATTGTGGGATAGAAAATACCTGGTGTTCCTGCCTTTGCTACTTCTGCCCTATGCTTACGGTAAGAATTACCAATCCACTACAGAATTCTTGGCTGTTGGTTCCAGGGGCAACTTGATGTTTTGTTTCATTTTTAATTTTAGATTCAAGGAGTGCATGTGCATGTTATTACAGGGGTATATTGTAGGCTTCTAGTGTACCCATCACACAAATAGCAAACATTATGTCAAATAGGTAATTTTTCAACCCTCACCTCTCTCTCATCCTCCTTCTGGATGAGTTCATTATCTGTGTTTATGTCCATGAGTGCCACTTATAGCTGAGAATATGCAATAATTGATTTTCAGTTTTTGAGTTAATTCACTTAGGGTAATGGCCCCCAACTCAATCCATGTTGCTGCAAAGAACATTCCTTCCTTTTTATGGCCACATAAGATTCCATGGTGTATATATACCACATTTTTGATCCAACCAACTGTTGATGAATACTTAGGTTGGTTCCATGATTTTGCTGCTGTGAATTGCATTGTGAAAAACATCCTAGTGCAGGTGTCTTTTTAATATAATGATTTATTTTCCTTTGGTAGATACTTAGTAGTGGAGTTGCTGGGTCAAATGACAGTTCTACTCTTAGTTCTTTGAGATGTCTCCATATTGTTTTCCATAGAGGTTAAAATAATTTATATTTTCACCAAGAGTGTGTAAATATTCACTTTTCTCCACATCCTTAGGTAATTCTGAAACCTGAAAGAAATGGGAAGCCTTCAGGAGGGCAAATATATTGGCAAAAATATTTTCTAGGTTAAAGTAGAAAAAAATCACAAGAAAATTAATTTAATTGGAGAGCTTATTGAATAAGCAAATTCTGACAACTTACTGTTTTATAATAAATAATGGTGATAAGCATTTATTGAGAGGTTAATATATATGAGATCTTCAGTTTGTGACATTCATAAGCTATATAACTTAACCCTCATTGTAACCTGTAAGATTGAAATTATTAGCCCCCATTTTATAGAAGAAATTAAGACAGTTTCATTTCCAGTCTTCTGTTTGAGAAAAAGGAGTTTGAAAAAGATATATTTCTGAAAACCCCTAACATAAAATAGAATCTGAAGATCAAATTATATAGAGAAATGCATAAGCACATGGTAGTAGTGGACAGGTGGGGCTGACAGAAATGTTTTAGCTTTCTTTAGTTCCATCTCAGGATTATTTATCACCTCCTGGTTTGGAATTTTAGATTTAGTTTAGAAGCTTCAATAAGATGGTTCTGGTTTCCATCTACCTCTTGCCCATCAGGATATAACTTAAGTAACTCAAAGATTAATTTACTTGATATTTAATGCAGCTATTTATTTGTTACCATTTTGACATAGATGAAAATTTATATATACTTATAGTTTGCATCCCTTCAAAAAAAAATAAACTTTCAGCTTTTTAAATCCTGAGTAATGTGTTCTACACATTCACACTTTTAACCCCAATCCTTGAGCCTCACTGTATTTTTAACTTTATTTTCCTTGACCTTTTTCTATTCCTGACCTCTGCACCCTCCCTGCCCCTCGCCTTTGATTCTTACTCCTGAGGTCACTGGGCCTCTCCTCATTCCCTTGTCTCATCCCATTCTATACTATTATATCCTCTACCCCACTCTATCCCTAAGTTAAACTCTTTCTCTGTACTGAGTGATTGCCAAGAATTGGTTAAGTCTTAAGGATGGGATACAAATGTCTTTTGAGCATATTAATAGTGATAAAATAAATATAAAAGATTTATGTTTATATTCTAATCAAATATTCAAAATGACCTAACAAAACACCTTTTCAGAAAAGCATATGTTTTAGCCAGAAGAAGAGAGTTTCTGGATTTCCTAGAAGTGAACAGGAAGAAGATAGAATCCCATATATCATGAGCTCTCTGAACCCATGCTCAACATCTTAAAATTGCCAAATAATAATAAGAAGAATTCAACAGGAATTACTTCATATTTTTTATGCCCAAAAAAATTATTTATAGGCCCTTCTTCTTTATCCTTAATGTAGCATAGAAAAGAATGCACCATAAAGGATAATTTATTTTCACTCAGTTACAAAGGACAAAGATCATCAAATCCTACTATAATAGAGCTAGTAGAGACTTTAAAAAAGTTAGAGAGGAAAAATAAAAATTAACTTCCCAAATCCAAGTAAGTCTGTCCCATCAGGCTAGTTCTTCTGAGGCTGAGAACACCTTGCCCCATAATGGATTTTCCATATATTTCTCCCTATGAAGTGTATTCAGCACCAGCCCAGAATTTTCAAATGAACAAAGAGACTAGGTAGACTAGGGATTTATAGAGTTTCAGCATAGAGGCAGTCAATTACAAGCATTTCATCCACCCCTATATAATGCCTGCATTCCTCCTCAGATTTCCCATGTCCATTTTCTTGTGGCACCACTGCATTGCCTAATACGGTGACCTCTATTCACATGTATCTACTGAGCACTTGAAATGTGGCAGGTCCAAATTGAGATGTGTTCTAAGTGTAAAATACACACCAATATCAAAGACTTAGTACATTTAAAAGTTTATGTTGATTACATTAATAGTTTTGATATATTAAGCTAAATGAAATATATTATTAAAATTAATAATGTTACAATGATTATTTTTAACCTCTAGAAAATTTAAAATTGCATATATGGCTTAAATTACATTTCTATTGGAGCGTGCCACTTTAGAGACTTGCACACATTGGTAATTAATTTTCTTACTTCCCAGATTACGGGTACAAGTCTGGGAGGTAGTTAATTGTCAAGACGTAACTTAATGAATAGACATGAGAACTTACTGGTTTGTGTCTTTGGATGGGACCTAAATAACTGAGAGACAGTTATTCCATTCATGAAAATTTAGAAAGGAGAGCTGGCATAGTAATGAATAGTGGAGATGAAGCTGATCTACAGCTAGTTTAACTTTGTATAGTTGTTGGCTGCTGGGAAGTCATATCTCCCTACCTCTCTTCTAGACAGTTCTTCTCAACTATGACAGCAACGTAAGTAGGAAAAAAGTGAGCATTCTCTGTCCACCAATGGGTTTAGCAAGACAAAAGGTTAGAGTTTATTCAGTTTCTATAAAAACACATTTCCATTATCCAGACAGTGACAAAGAAATCCCAGGAAGGATGTTCTGCTGAGTTTACTTTTATTGAACAGGCGGTTGGACAGACAGCATTGTGATCAAGACTCTTCAAGGGCACAGACTTGGTGGAGATGTCTTTGTACCCTCAGATCACAACATCTAGGAGAAAAGAGATGGAAAAGACTGAAAGTCAGTGAGTCCATTCCCAACAGCTCTGTACTGTTTTCTATAGCAAATAAGACAATCTTTGAAGAATTCCTCATATATACAGATGTGAAGGTAGGTGATTCAGAATTGGAGTTTATTTTTTCCCTCATGGTTTTCAACAATCTTCCTGTCATTCATCCTAGAAGAGAAGATGGGTAGGTTAGATGCTAGAACCCAGAGATATTGCAGAAATGTGGGCTGTATATTTATAGCTGTATCTTAATCAAAGACATCCATAGATTCCTGCACTCTGCAAAGAAGTAACAACTTAAAATCCCTTTCACATTTTATCACTTTGATACAACAAGTATTGAGCGCCTAACATGTATTATGTGTTGAGGTGGACACAAAAATGAACATGAGTTAACTCTGCCTTTCATTACATGTTGGCTTCATGCCGATAAAAAGAAGTAGGTGTCATTAGTACCATTTTGCAGATAAGAAAATTGAGCTTCAGAGATTAGTAACTTGTCACTGTCATGTTAGGTCATGACTTGAATTCAATTCCCGTAACATGAATGTTTTTCTACCATAGTTTTGTTGTAGGCCACTAGAATAGAATCAGCTGTCTTCCTTTGCCTGACTAATTCAGGCATTTGAAATCAACCTTTAAAACATTAAATCAATATTTAAAAATCTTCTCATAGGGGGTGAGGGCCTCAGGAAGTTTTCCTCCACATAACTGCACATCTTCAACTAGTACCACCTGGGGCATGAGCAGCACTGTCATTCCAAACTCAAACCTCCACTTTATTGCCTACATCCATGCCAGGAGGTTTTCTTTGGTTTGAAAGTAGTAAGCTTTGGTCTTCCTGAATCCTTGAAAATCCATCATGAAATTGATAGATATAGATAAGAACAGTCATTTATTTATCTCACAAAATAATATTGGTATTTTTCTTAATATAGAAATTGCTTTCCAATATAGCAAATCATGTGTTAATTGAGATAATGCCTTCTTGAGAGTGCTTAGTCTTTAGAATCTCCTGACAACTAAGGAATGGTAGTAGAGCACTGGAAATGAAGTCAGAATATCTACATTGAACTCAAGATATTATACTGAGTGACGTTATTAAGTGACATTTCCCCCAGGCTGACTTTCTGTAAAATGGGAAAGACAGTGATCCCTGCCCTAATCAAATGACTATTGTAAGGGCACGAACAGAAAATGCACATAAACCTCTAAACAGCTATGTAAATCTTAGTAGTTACTGTATAATAGTTATTGCACAATAGAAAGTTTGATGTACTTAGTAATCAAAGTGTGGGTTCTGGGATACTCAACCTACTTTCTCAGGAAAGTCCTGCCTGGACTCTTATTCTATTTTTGAGATTCCACTTTCTTAGAGAAACTTTCACCCAGAAATAAAGTTCAGACAATAGTCTTCAACCCCAGTATACACATCCTTACTAGTCATCAGAACAATGTTAGGCCATGACCAATCTGTACCACCGGTACCCAAGATCAAACCCTTGAATCTTACACAGGGACCTGAAATTCCATCTGTGTCCAGGACACTTTTAATTTGTGTTTCATTAACTAATACTATAATAATTTCTGCCATTATTAATGCCCACTATGCAACTCCAGTGGAAAGTATACACCCAGAAATGAAAGAATGGCACTCCTTTACAACACCTTGTGTGCTGAGTTCCAGCAAGATTCTTCTTTGTTTGAAGAAATACATCTTACCAGTATAAACCTATGGCAAGTTCTTTATAAAGTAGTTTTTCTCAAGTTGCCTACACAGAGTGAGAGTTACAGGGAAATGTGGTCTAAGGTGTGGTCTACTGGACTGGCATAAAGCTATTTTGACTTTTCTATCCTGAGGTATATGTAACTAGGTGAGTTTGTGAGGAAATGTCACAGTATATTCTCTAAATAAAATGGGGAGCAAACTACTAAGAATTTCTATATAACAATATAGGGACTAGAACACAATATAGGGACTAGAGTAAAAGTTTAAACTCTCTTTTTATGGATTGTGGTAAATAACCAGAATAAAGGTCTTTAAGTGGGTGGTAAATAACTTTGTCGAGTCCCCTTGAGAAAGATAGGGTCTTTGGATTTCATTCCTATCCTTGGCTTCCTCTATACTGTTTTCAGCTGCTAATGTGAAACTAGAAAGCCTCTAGCTTATGATTCTTGTTTTCACAGTTTCCCATAGCAAAGATTGTTTGGTAAGTGTTCTTAATATGGCCTTATCTAGTATTGCTTGACTAAGATCTCCAAATCTGGCTGAATAGTTTCTGATTCCATTACTCCCAGAGCTTTTTGTGACAGTGGGATGGAGCAAAGACAGTGTGAATAATAAATAGTATTATTAAATGTAATGCATTAAAATATTATTTATTAAATATAATTTTATCAAAGTATCATTGAAAATAATTTATTAAAAATAAATAAGCACTATATCATTGTCTGTTTTTTTAAGTTCATACGTTGGACTCTTCTCTTTTTCTAAATTCATGTTTTGGTCTTAGGCATAATAATAATAGTGACATTAATTTTTCAGACACTATGTCAAATGCATAGATGTCAGTCTTCATTGAATATTTTCACAGTTCCTTGGGGCCTTTGGTTTAGAGTATTTAAGTAATTTGCCAAAAATCTCATATATGAAGCACAGCAAAATTTGAAATTTGAAACATTTTCTCTTATTTGAAAATTTCTATTTTTTCACATTATATACCATCTCTCTGAGGATGACTATTCAAATACAGTCATCAGGGAGAATCTTAAACTCAGTAACATATGTTGAAACATCCTTTCGGGGGTTTAAATGAAATTGGTCAACCTTTAATTCTGGGAAGTAATTTACTACAACGTAAAGTTCAAGAATACGGGCATTATATAGAAATTATTTAAATCCAGCTCTGTCACTCTCTGACCTCTCTTGGTCTCTGTCTCATCTTTTTATTGTAAATCACAGAAAATAAAACCTATCCTGAACTAAGTAATGCTATGTTGGAGACACTGCTTATAAACAGTCTATTAATGAACCCAGTAAATAGTTTAAAATAGTAACTGCTACACTATTTTTACTTATTTCAGTAATTAGTTATCCTTCCAGTGAAAAATGTGACCAATTTTGAGTCACCTGACCTAGTGTCACCTTTCTGGCCAGTGAAACGTCCATTACTCAATGGAAGGGAACAAAAGCAGAACCCACCACTACTCACAACATAACCACGGAGCCCAGTCTACCTACGTACTTACAGATGTGGGCATGCTGGCAGTGGTTGTTCCTGGGGTGCTGCTCTCCTCACACTTCCCTTTACTGCGGATGTGTGTATTTGTTTGGCGTATCCTAAAACAGATCAGAGGACGCTTCAACAGTGAGGAAATTCTCAGTTATAATAAGAAAATAAATAAGGACCAATGTGCAAACCAAGCTGCATTTAGAGGGAGAATCTGGGATCTGCGTTTAACTATTTTCATTTTCAGTAGACATCGGTCAGGCTGTCTCTCTTCTGCTCCAGATTTATTCCCTAGCTCTGGACCTATTCTGTCACATTTTGTATACTTATATGTTCATAGAAAATATTGGAAATAAACTTGCAGATCATCTGGTCTAAAGGCGATCTTACATTTAGAGATGAGAGAATCAGATCCCAGAGAGATATTTAACTATATTGGGTACCAGTAATAAGATTTGGGGAATATAAATTATAACAAGACAAAAATGATACAGTCTGAACTTTATAGCTGGAATGAACCTTAAGAAGTATGAATTTTAATGCCTCTCACTGGAGAAATATTATGAATCAGACGTGTACTTGTTTTCCTCTGGTGATGGGAAACTCATTATCTATCAAGGCAGTGCAATTTGTATTTTGGCATTGCTTAAGTTGAAATTGCTCTCCTATAATTTTTTCTAAAGCCTTAGAAATGAATATTTCTTCTTGTCTCAGATAACCTGATCCTTCTTTATAATATATACTCCCAACTCCCTTAGCCAAACAAACTATCCTGAGGCATGCTTTTTTAGTATTTTCATCATTTCAGTTTCTTACTCTAAAGTTCCCTTAAATAGATCATTTGTTACAGGTCTATAAAGTTGATGAAAATGTTGAAGAAAATTATATGGCTAATTTAGGTCCTGACATTTACAAGAAAGAGGAACTGCAGGATTTCTGGGCTGGAAATAAGGTATATATAGAAATGAAATTCCTGGACAGTTATATTTATTCCTTAAACAAGAATTTCTTAATTCTTAAAACCCTATAAGGTCTATGGATGAATTTCAAGTACTCCAGGTACCAACAAATTATGTGTGTGAATTGCTCATATCACATAATTTTTCAAAAATGTTCTTGAAAAGGGTACCTTTCTTCATATTATCTAAGGAATCTTTGGTCTTTGAAAATTTAAGGAACTATTGTCTTAGAAATAACAGTAGGATAGTGAAGAAAAAAATAACTGTATTTTGGCCCAAATCAATAAGGTCAAAATCTTGTCTGATCTACTTCCTAACTTTATAACTTTGAACAAATTATCTGGACTCTCTGACCCTCAGATTAACCTTCTGTACAGTAAAGATAACAACATTCCATAGCAGGTTGCAGGGATTCAGTGACTGAAATGTGAAGGTGCCCCCCTTATCTACAAAGGAAGGATTATGTTCAGATTTTATGCTTTTAAGTATATGACCTGAGGAGTGCCTTTTTCTTTTTGAGTATTTTTCCAGGATTAAAAAGCAGGATATCAGGGAGTCCTAGCCTCACGTTCTGGCCCTTGCTTACAGTGTCCTAAGAAAGATAAAGTAGTACAGGAACTGCAGTGTAGGTCTGGGTCCAGGCGAGGTGGAAAAACCAAGCTTTGTCACCATCCTCTCCTTGAAAGCTGGTCAAATGGAGGCCAGAGGAAAGGGATGCACTTAGAAGCAGGGAGAAATTACTTAAAATTTTCAGAAAGCATTTGAGCACAGAAGAAACAACAAAACTAAAGCCAATAATAAAAGTATTAAAATGAATCCCTTATGTTGAACTTAAAATAAAAGTATTTTTATATCTAGCAGTTCTTCTCAATCATCTGTGAAGTCAGAAGCTCAGAGAACTGTCTCCATTTCTCCAATGAAGGTAGTGAGATTCAGAATGAGATAATATACCACCAGATAGTCATAAATATGAGAGCAGACATCAGATCAACCTTTTATTTATTGTGCTTTCTTTTGTGCAGTGCACTTTCCTTTTGCAAGGTACTACTCCTTTCAAGAGGCAGGCTTAAAGAAATGAGAAATCCGTGGCTGTCTTAGAGTCACAAGACATTTTAGATATCATATGCTGGGCTGACTTTATATAGCAGTAGTTCTCTACTGTTTTTCTCCACTACACACAGAGCAAATGATGTTCATACTCCCTGAGTGTACACAAGCTTATACCAGAGTTCTGCAATAGTAACCCCACCATTTTTTTTCTTTCTCTTCTACTCAGTAAAGCATGCAGCAATGTAGCTAAGCAATGTAGGTAAGCAATTTGGGGAATAACCTCAAATCTTTTCTATTTTACATAAAAGTAACATAATTCATAAATTTAGAATTTTTAAGTTCTATGATGAATAGATTACTTGTGACACACTCCAAATTTATATCAGTGCATTACTATGGCTTAACACTCTAGCTGAGAAATTCTAAACTGGAAGATATGATGGGGCAACTTGAATACTTACAGGTTTTCATGACAGAGCATACAGGGATTGTTGTAGGTCTGACCATCGTCACCACAGACAGGCTTTAAATCCTTTGGACAAAGATAACCTATCCTGGGCAATACTCGGTAGTCTTTGCACATCCCAGAATCCTGAACAAGCAAAACATGAAGCAGACTTACTTGTTGACATTCAAGGAGAGTGATGGGCTTGAGAAAACTGCTTGAGTTCCTTAACCCAACTTGAATAAATGGTTGTAAAAGGAGTGTGATATAGGTTATACAAACTAAAAGACTGATTTTGCATCATATTTGTTGGATTTAACTTTCTGAATTTGGCAATTTCTAACCAGACAAGGTAAGTAAACAAAGAAACCAGGAATAACAAAACTTTAGTAAAGCAAAACCCCTTTATAATATGGGACACAATTATCTGCCCAAAGGAAGAAAACCAGGATGATAGCATGCTGGAAATAATATTCACCTTTTTAAATGAAGGTACTGGTTATATACAGCCTAGAAAGGAAAGACTCAGAGGTAAATATTCATAAATTGCATGAGTTTTTGTGTCCTATCTCTACTACTAACTAAAGAAATGACTTATCTAACTTTTTGCGCCTTAATTTTCTCATCTGAAAATCATAAATAATAGTAGTTCTCACTTCATATTACTGCTTTAGGGGATTAAACCAGATAATGCATGTAAGTTCATGCTTACCATAGTATCTGTCACATACTAAGTGTTCAGGAAATTTTAGTTGTCAGTATGTTTTCCATGGTAGAATATATATGTATATTTTCCATGTAAAAGAGGAACCATATTTGTCCTTTGTAGTTTTTTGGAAGTATGGGTTTAGTGATTAATGATAACAATAAGAACTTGATTAATTTTTTTAAAAGGCTAAAGGTAGAGTCAAATATAAAAAATGGATTCAAAAGTAAATAGAATAATGGAAGACTTCAATCCAATGGTATCAGTAATTACATCAAATATTAATAACTAAGTACTTCACTTAAAAGACAGAAATTATCAAACTGGAAGAACAAAAAGAATCAACTATATAATATTATAAGAAATATATTTATAAGTAAAAGGATGAGTTCTAAATACCTCACAACTCAAAGCAATCATAAAATTTAGAAATTAATTGAATCACAAGGAAAATATAACCTATCAAATCCCAGCACCAAAGCAGTAATTTGGGGGAAATTTATAACCTTAACACATATGTTAGAAAAGAAGAACATTCGCAAACAAATTATCTAAACTTTCCTCTGAAGAAGCTAGCAAATGATGAGAATAGAAAAAAATGTTAAATAAATAATAAAGAAGAGAAAATGACAAAATAGAAAACAGAACAAGGCCAAACGTTAGCTGCTTGAGAAGATTAATAAACTGATAAGCTATTTGCAAAATTGACCAGAGTCAAGAAAACATATTACCAACATTATTGGAGATAAAAGGTCATCACTATATGAACTATTGATATTAAAAGGATAACTTAGAAATGTTATGAGTAACTATATGCCAAAAAAATTGACAACATAGATGAAGTGAATAAATTCCTGGAAAACTATTTACTGAAAACAGACACAAAGAAGATATAGAATATGTGATAGGATTATATCTGTTAATATTTATTTTAGAGGAGTCAAGAAATATTTGTTAGTTTGTTCCTTTCTTTTGATAAATAATTCAAACATCTAAATGAATTGCTTTTAGCGATTCTCCATATTGATATAAATATTCATGGAGAATTTAGATCAGTAACTTATATGAATCTCTGACAAAGGTTAGACTCAACCAGGTGTATATCAATCATAGTTTTCAGGTAGCTGGCGCTATGATGTTCAAAAGGTACTACAATGTTTCTCAGTCTCTCTCTTTTTTTTAACATAAGATATCAACTCAACAAATTCTGTTGACTCCACCTTCAAAACAGACCCAGTATCTAACCAGCTGTCAAGAGCTCCACCACTACTAAGATGTTGTAAACTAGCATCATCTCTTCTGCGGACTACTGCAATAGCTAACTAGCTGTCCAGCCCTTGCCTCCCTGCAGTGTTTTCAATAGATAGCAGTCAAAGTTATTCCTTTAAAACGTAAATCAAATTGTGTTACCCTTCTCAAAACCTTCATTCAGAATACCAGGTGAAGTCTTTAAAATTGTCTACAAAAATCCTTTATAACACGCCCTCCCATTAGCTTCCTGACTCTCTCCTCTACAACTGAAGTAGCTGTATTTCACTAAGTGCTTTGCTATGTTTTCTGCCTGGAATATGTTTTCCTTAGATATACCTACAGAATCAATACCCTTACGTCTTGCTGCAAATGTCGCCTTCTGAAAGAGTTCTTCCTTGCATATGCTACTTAAAATTGTATCCCCTCCACTCCCCATATCAGTGTTTACTGTACCATATTTTTCTGCCTTATTTCCTCCTTGACATTATATTTTTATTTATTCATATTATTTATTCTATGTGCTTTTCCAAGATACTATGAACTCCATGTAGTGAGTGCTATCTGTTTTGTTTATAGTTATAACCTAGCATACATAAGTAATGCCTGGAAAAATAGCAGGTACTCACTCAATAAGTATTTGCAGACTGGCAAAGGGACTGCTGCCTTGATGAAATGATGACTAATGAAAGATTTATTTCTCCAAAAGAAATCTCAGCTTCAAAGCAGATTGTAGATTAGGAGGGAGAATGAGAGGGCTACTGGACTACTGGCCTACTGGTCATATCTTATTTCTTGCTGCTACCACAGATATGATCACTTTGTGATATTTCATTTAGCTATTTACTTGGATGTGTGCATTTCTTCTATGTGACTATTATACTTCAATAATTAAAAAAAGAAACAAATATTTTGTGAATAGCTCTTCTCCTTGTCTTTGGATCCCTGATGCAGAGCCCAACTTACCAGAAATATGTAATTAATGCATATTTCATGTATGTAACTCATCTATTACCCTAGTTGAATTGGATGAAAAATTAGGTAAAATTCATGTTTGATACTTTCTTTCTCCTTTTCTGGGTCATCAGCCTAGGTGCTAAAATCTTCCTTTTAGGGCCCAATCTGAGAATCTGCTTGATGATCTCATATCCTCTTTGCTTCTTTCTACTCCTCATCTTGCCAAGGCTCTACGAAGTAAATCCTATCATGCTAATGTACACCAATACTTACATTACTGATGACCATCAGCCAAGAGAGAGAGAAAGAGAGAGAGATGGGGCCTTGTTCTGTCACCCAGGCTGGAGTGCAGTGGTGCAAAGTTCATGATAGCCTCGACCTCCTTGGATCAAGCCACCCTTCCGCCTTGGCCTCCTAAGTAGCTGGGACTATAGGCACAAGGCACCATGCCCAGCTAAATTTTTGTTTGTTTGTTTGTATTTTTTGTAGAGACAGAGTTTCACCATGTTGCCCAGGGTGGTCTCAAACTCCTGGGGCCAAGGGATCTGCCCACCTTGGCCTCCCACAGTGCTGGGGTTATAGGCATGAGTCACCACACCCAGCCCAGCCTATATGTTAAATAAGAAGTTTTAGCTACTGCGAATTGCTAATTTGTGGAAATCTACACCTGTGAGCATGCTCAGCGTAGTTCTAGTATGTAGAAATGATTTGGTTGGGGGAGGGAAGTAAGCAGAAGCTTCTTGGTCTGCTAAAATTACAGAATTGAGGCACCTGACTACGTATTACCACATTTGAGATAAGTCACAATTATTCCATACTGACACTGGAAAATTTTAAATGTTCTAATAATCTCAAAGGGCACAGAATAATCCACTAAGAGGAAATCCCAGAACTCTCACCAAGCATAAACTGCATTTAGTCCTCAAAGGACTTCAAGCTGCACTGAATAAGCAAATCTCAGAGCCTTCTATGAAAACAGCCAATGGCAATAGTTTTAAAAAATCAAGAAAATCAAATTAATACGCTGCTTTTCAGAAATAGTCCTCCTTACCAGAGAACTGAGAGAATCTAGGCTGTCTTCCTCTTGAGAAGCTCTAACGTGGGATGGCTTTTCTTGAAGTTTTGCCCTTTCCAAAGCTTCTGTTAGACTAGAGAAAAAAAAAAAGTAATTTAAAATAATATTCACAGGGAACAGTTCCTATAATTTCCAGTGAGAAGTTAAGCAATCCTCATAAAATATGACAGAGGCCTGGTGTGGTGGCTCACAGCTGTAACGCCAGCACTTTGGGAGGCCTAGATTGGCAGATCACCTGAGGTCAGGAGTTAGAGACCAGCCTGGCCAACATGATAAAACTCCGTTTCTACTAAAAATACAAAAATTAGCTGGACGTGGTGGTGCACACCTGTTATCCCAGCTACTCAGAAGGCTGAGGCAGGAGAATCGCTTGAACCTGGGAGGCAGAGGTTGCAATGAAATGAGATTGCACCATTGCACTCCAGCCTGGCAATAGAGCAAGACTCTGTCTCAAAAAGTAAGTGAATAAATACAAACATAAATAAATAAAACAGAATCACAGAACATTGAGATAGTGACCAGGATGATACATTTAAAAAAGTACACAATTAGGAGGTGGTTTAAAGCTTTCATTACTTAACAGAGGACAAGTGGCTTCATGTTCTTAAGTTTTGATTTCTAGAACATAAAATGAGGGTAGTATTGGTAATTCCTTCTTCAAAGAACACTCACTGTGAAAAGCTAAATAAATTTGATTATTGTTGCGTTCACAGTGCACTTTACAACCATTATCATCATCATCATCATCATCATCATCATCATCTATAATGTCCATGGGTCCCAATTTCTAGTTGCTTTTTAGAATAACCCAGAAAATAAATTCCATAGCCTTAAGATTCTGATTTAATATAGTTTGGGGTGTAAACATTTGTATTTATTTTTAAAATTCATCTCAATCGAGTCTGATCTAGTTATGAAATAAAGATCTCAAAGAATTCCTTCTAATCGTGATGTTGAAAGTTGAAAAAGTTGTTTAATGACACAGCTAGTATACATCATGGTTAGACCTTTGATGTAGAATTTCTGTCTCCAAGTCTAAATGTTCTTTCTACTATATTAGGTATTCTCAGCTAGAAGGCCTTAATTCTAAAGACATTTTAAAAATCTTATGGGGTTCATAAACATACAGATGTATTCAATCAGCAGTTTCTAAAAATGCAGTTCCCTTGCTAGCTGCAGGGGGAGCAGAATCCTCTTACTTACAAGACAGCTCTGCACATGAAACACTTGTTTGTGTAGAACTTTCCATCAGCACCACGGACTGGGTCACTCTCTCTAGGGCAGATGAGCTCATTGTTCCTTACATAGTTTCGAAATTCACTGCACTCATCCTAGAAAATGAGAAAGGGAAAGTGAACATGGCTTTGTTCCTTTTTTGGCTTAGTGGTTTTTTCAAACTTGGCTTTAGAAAGTCCACAATTAGCTCTGTGCTCAGACTCACTGTAGTTATCCTGGCAATAGAGGCCAAGGAACCCACAGGTTGCCTAAACTTTGCATCCTCTGCTTCATTCTGAACCTCTCTGCACTGGTCCTGAAAATGTAGGGAAACATAAAACAACACTAAACAGACCTTCCTGTTTTCCTCCCCCTTTCATCCATCCTTCCTTTCCCCTGTTTTCCACATGAAGCATGCTTTTGACAAAAGGACAATCGCTCAGGGATCTTACTCTATAAATGTGATTGTTACTGTTAAAAACTGAATGAAGATGTCCTCTCTGCAGTCTTGAAAAGCAAATAGAAAAAAAAGCATCATGCATGCACACTACTGATTTTTTAATGCTGATAAAATCATCTGGAAAAAACAGAAAAGAAGCTAAAAGGGAAGCTTAGTTTATATTGCCTGAATTATTAAAATAAATGTCAACAATCTACCCAAAGCCTCACTTTACACTTAAAATGTCAAACATAAGCATGCAGTTGAAGTGGTAAAGAATTTTACCCTCTACTTTTCAATCCATGCTTTTCCCAAGGAGGAAAGACAAAACAATAATTGACACACATTGTTAGAGAATTTTCCACAAAATCAAAAAAGCCCGAAGCCCCCAAAAAATCTTGCTATCACCCAAAGTGACAGTATTAGCAAAATCAATTTTCTTTGAAGTTAAGAGATTAGTATCTGTATTATTCCCAAAACTGGAGAAGAATGAGAAATTCTGAGGGCGAAAAGTAAAATAGTTATTTTGGTATACTTTAAGAAATAACCTTTGCATCATTTGAGACCTTGACAGTTGATTTCTCTTCATTATTCTTTTTTCTTTCATTAGCTTCTCTATCACTGCAGAATTAAAAAAAAAGATAGGGTAATTTTTCTAGGGTTATTACTGAGTTGTCTGTAATCATGCATTTCTTCAATTCCGAACACTGGCAGATCTAACACTACTTTCTTATATCTAAAAAAAACCCTAAGAATGCTTTTTAATAAGCTAATCAATTCCGATTGTTGGAATTTTCATGACAATATATTTTCAGAAATGCTATCAGCTTTCACAGATTTTGTTACTATACTCTTATCCAGAACAATACGAACCTAAAAGGCCCTTATTTTGCTTACATAAAACAGACTTAAGACTCTCATCTTGAAAGTTACTATATTTCTCTTGTTTACTTTTCTAATTAAATTATAACTAAACTCACACTTTTGCTTGTTATTTACCTAAGTATAATGCTTTGTCCTTGAATCTCCAAAAAACTATATTGCACATTATTGTTCCCTCGGGAGGAACTGAGGCTCTGCACGATGAACTGGCCTGTCCCAGGTTGCTTAGCTGATAAGCTGCCTCTTCCTACCCCAGAGGTTCCAGGTATGATTATGCTTCACAACATCAAAATGTAAAAAAAATCCTGTGAAAGTGCTTTGGAAACTGTCTCTTCAGAAGAGAGGAGCTATTAAATCATTAATGTGTGATGCCAAGTACCTTAGGTTTTAAAAGTAACAAGAACTATTTTCTGGGAAACAGGCACAACTATCGAATTCATTAATAAACCTTTTTACGTACAAGACGCTCTGACACATAGCACATTTATTGATGTGCATCTTGCCATACAGGTCTCGAACAGGATTATTTTCTCTGGTGCAGATAAGCTTCCCATTTCTCTGCATGCTTCGAAATTCACGACACTGATCCTACCAAGAGTAGCAAAAAAAGATGTTACTATCCTGGCAAAATATTTAAAACCTGACAACATGATTGACTAATTAGACATAAACTCAACAAGGAAACAAAAACAGAGAAAGTAAAATTTCAGAGAAGAAATACGTTTTAAAGGCACTTTATTCAATCTCTACCTAAGAATTTTGAATCTCCATTTCATCTCTCTCAAATGATTGTCTTGCTCTAATGGAAATTCTCTACTGTCTGGAGCAGCCCATCCCTTTAAAAATTATATGTATTTGTGTGTGTGTGTGTGTGTGTGTGTATAGTGTATATATATATATATGCATAAACATATGTGAACACCATATATATATATATAAAACCTTGCTATGTTGTCCAGTCTGGAGTGCGGTGGTTCGCTCATTGCAGCCTCCAGCTCCTGGGTTCAAGCCACACTCCCACCACAGCCTCCTAAATAGCTGGAACTACAGGCATGTGCCACCATGCCTGGCTAATATTTTCAAATTTTTTGTAGATACAGGAGTCTCTCTGTGTTGCTCGGGTTGGTCTTGAACTCTTGGCCTCAAGTGATCCTCTCACATTGGCCTCCCAAAGCACTGAGATTACAGGCATGAGCCCCAGTGCCCTGCCTCACCTCATTTTAATACAATTTTCTCTAAGGCAGAGCCCTAAGCCTGTCTCCCTGTGAGTGCACTCTGTATTCCCCACATAAAAAGTCTACTTCAAAAGCCCTGGAATGAACTAAAAGATACTTTTCTGGCAAAACATACAAACATGTAAACTTTCAGCTTTATTCCTCAACAGCAATCCAAGAAAAAGAAAAGTATTGTTATTGTGTGAGGTGCTTTGTCATGTGGTTTAATATATTTCCTTTAGTGGTCATAAAAATCGTATAAGATAAATATTCATCATCCCCATTTTACAGATGAGAAAAGTAAATCTCAGAGATATTAATTAAAGTCAGTGTTGAATTTGTGATCAGAAACCTGCTAACCACCAGACCATACGTTTTTACTTACTTGCTTTTACAAGGCAGAGAATAAAACTCCTATCTGTGGATAAGTATATATACAGCTGCCTTTTGTGTTCATTGAAGCATAACGAGCTTGAAAAGAAGCCAATGGAATCAAGTCTACAGACAGAATCTATACTGTATTAAAATCTTCAGAGAGCTATAGAAGTCTCTGGAACTTCCTTTAAGCCCAAAAAGCCAAAGTGGAGATATGGGAACATTACCATAAAAAATACCACCGTAACCTAGATTGTACTTGCCCTTCTTTCTTTAAATTGTGATGTCCATAAACAATTCCAGGCCTTACTTTTAATTGTAGTATTTAAACAAATTCTCTGGAATTAAATACCTATCAACATATTAAATGCCTCACAACCACCATTTCCACAAATGACTGGGAAGTGTTTTCTTTTCCAGGTGCTCACAATACCACATATGTCTATAATAGCACTAATCTGCCTGTATTGCAACTCTGCAATTCAGTCCTTGGCTCTTCTGTTCATTACTTATGTGTAGTTACTTCTCTTAAGTTTTTCTGAATTGTAAAATTGGAATAGTATTACCCACTGAATAGATTTGGGGGAGGTTTAAATATAATCACTGGTAAACCTTATTGAACTTTGCATTTGTAGATAAAACTGTAGCTCTCTATTTGACTCTCTCTCTCTCTGCCCCACCTCGGTATTTTCTTTTTGTGCTTTTTTAAGACAAGTTCTCACACTGTTGCCCAGGCTGGAGCGCAATAGTGTGATCATAGCTCACTGCTGCCTGGAATTCCTGACCTCAAGTGATCCTCCCACCTTAACCTCCCAAGTAGCTAGAGTTACAGGTGTGCACCGTCATGTCTGGCTATTTTTTTAAATTATTGTTTGTAGAGACAGGGTTTCACTATGTTGCCGAAGCTGGTTTTGAACTCCTAGGCTCAAGCACTTCTCCTGCTCTGGTCTCCCAAAACACTGGGAGTCACCACACCCTGCCTCAATATTTTTTTATTGTTGTCGTTGTTGTTTCACTCAATATTTTCTACATATACGTGTATATATAGTATTTTTCTGTTTGAAATTTTAAAATAAGTATCATAAAATGAAAAATTTACCAAGATTTTAAATAGATGCCCTTTAGAGATCATGTGAAGTTGTGCAATAAAGTATTTTCTCTAAGCCATTCATCTACCGAAATACACAACAGATATTTCCAAGATATGTTAAAATAATGATAATTAATATTAATGCTTCATTTTCTTTAGTCACTACAGGATGAAATGAAAAGTTTCCCTGCTAATAGAAAAAATCTTCCTAGAGAAATTTTACTATTTTGCTTTTCTAATGGGAGGCTCTCAGTGGATGAAAAGAGACTGTGCTGTGTAATACTCTCCGTGTTGGCATTGTAGTGTAGAGTACTATTTATAAAGATCAAAATTAAACACTAGGTGGCAATGAAATGTCAGGTCATGAATTTATCACCTCAAACTCCAAACTTGTGATACTAATTTTCTTTGTAATCTTTTGCATCTGATTGCTTGATATTTATTATCTAAAAAATCCAGAAACAACTGGGTGTGGTGCCTTGTGTAATCTCAGCAGTTTGGGAGGCTGAGACAGTTGGATTGCATGTGCTCCGGAGTTTAAGACCAGCCTGAGCAGCAGCAAGACACTGTCACAAAGGAAAGAAAAAAATTCAAAAATGAAATTAACCGGGTAACTACAATAATTTGAAAATTGCCACTGGTTCTACAATTCCATCAGAATCGCTCTTGAGGAACTGAAGAGCATGCTATTTGTTTGCAAGATGTGGCCATGACTTCATTGTTTACCATTATATCGCCAACGATTGGGACAGAGTCAGCATTTCTTGAATATCTGTTGAATAAACATTCATGAACTAGCTGAATTCAGGTATTAGTGTGTCAACATCTATTACCTCCTTGTCTTTGCTCTTTTCTCCTGTATTGCTCCTGTCTTCATTCTCTTTCTTTTTTTTTTCAGCTGCTTCCCTTTCCCTGTGGGGGCGATGAGGGGAATGAAACATTTCAATCAAAGTGAATAAACACCTCATTAATTACTAGATCTGCTTCTAAAACAATTGTTATTTTCCCAAACTGGTAGGAAATGATTATTATACCTTAAGACTCACAGTCAAAAAGTTATTTTGAAGAATACTCACAGTTTTTCCTTACACATAGCACACTTATTGCCATGTGTCTTGCCATCTGGACCCCGGACAGGGTCACTTTCTCGAGTGCAGATAAGCTTTCCATTTTTCATTTGGCTTCTAAACTCATCACATGTATCCTGAAAAAATGGAAAGAGTATACTGCAAGTGCTGTTTTTACATAGTATTTGACTGGATTTGAGAATCAGAATTTCTTTCCAAGAGGCAGGCAGCCACGTAACCTTACTGTGGTAGGCAAAATAATGGCCCACAGAGAGAGACAACCATGTTCTAATTCCTGGAACCTCCAAATATGCTACTTTACATGACAAGGAGAAATTGTGATGAGAATATGGAATTCAGATTGCTAATCAGCTGGATTTAAAAGGGGGAAGTTACCCTGGATTATCCAAGTGAGGCTCATGTAATCACAAAGGTTCTTATTCATGAAAGAGGGAGGCAGGTGAGTCATTGTGAGAATAACATAGCATGAGAAGCACTTGACTGGCCAGCAATGGCTTAAGGGTGGCCACAAGCCAAAGGATACAATTAGCTTCTAGAAGTTAGGAAAAGCAAAGAAACAGATCCTCACTTAGAGCCTCCACAGAAGAATGCAGCCTTACCGACACCTTGGTTTTAGCACAATCAGACCCATTTAGAACTTATGGAACCCAGAAATACAAGATAATAAATTTGTGTTATTTCAAGCAACTGCTTGTAGTAACTTATAGTAACAACAAAATAATACAAAAACAAAAATAAATCCAATGTATTTGCAAAACCTCCTTTTCCCTATCTACAAAATAAGGTTAAAAGGCCATATTCAACCAGGCTATTGAGATAATTAAATAAACTATCATTTATGAAAGTTCCTTTTAAAGTGTAAAGCTTGACCTTAGGTTTCTTCACTGAACAAGTTATTGGTGATAGTCACTGATAACTTGGTGACTCATGGCCTTCTAAGGGTAAGCTCTAGCTTGATCATATTGACACCTTCTTCCATAAGAACTCACCTTCCCCGATACTGAGCCATTCTCATTTGATCTGGAACCAGAATAATCATTTTTTCTCTCTGCTTCTCTTTCCCTGGAGGAGAAAAAAGTCGATAATCATCTTGTGAACACATATTAACCCTGAATTATGCAGTAAGTGTTCTGTACAAATGACAAGAATTCAACTCTCTTCAACTGTGCTGGCCAACAATTCGAATGGCCATCACAAAGTCTTCCTAGGATTCTGGTACAATGAAGAACAAGGGTCTATCATGATGGCACTTAGAGTTCACAGAATTGTAATAGAATATATAACAGGAATCAGCCGCTTGGTTAGCTGCCCTTGCTGAAGCTCATTGTTCCTTAGGGAATGCAAGAGAAAAATGTAATATTTGAAAATTAACAAAAAGAATAATTTTCATTGAAGGAGCCATGGCAATTGAGAAATAGCCATTCATTCAGGAGAAATGTGACTATGTTTTAGACATGGCTGTTGAGAGAAATACTTACAGTTTTGCTTTACACATGGTACACTGATTGTTGTACGATTTGCCATCAGCATCACGTACAGGCTCACTCTCCCGAGTACAGCTGAGTCTTCCATTTTTCATTTGTTCCCGATACTCAGCACATTGGTCCTGAAAACAGAGAAGAACAAAGGCCCCTTGGCTTATTTAGTCTACTGTATTCTTAGTAAATGTTTTTAACAATCTGAGTAAGAGAAGTTCTTTCACCTCTCTTTGTAAGCAACATAAGATCTAGGACTGCTATCCACAGAGAAAAAGGGACAAGAATCACCCATGTTCTAATTATAAGAGATGAATTGTCATGGCTACTACTGTTGCTTTTAAGGATCTACACAAGGAAATTATAAATATGACTGGATTTAATAACATATATCAAATATTAGTAATATAGTTGCCCCTTGGTACACTTGGGAGATTGGTTCCAGGATCAAAATCCATGCGTACTCAAGTTTGTCTTGTACAACCCACCTGTACAAAAAGATTGCCCTTCATATATGCAGGTTTCACATCCCACAAATGCTGTATTTTTTAATCCAAGTTTTGTTGAAAAAAAATTATGTACTAGTGGACCTGGGCAATTTAAACCCATGTCGTTGAAGGGTCAATTGTACAACCCACAGGCAAAATCTTTCCTGCTGCCTGTTCTTACACATAAAGTTTTACTAAAGCACATCCTCACTCATTTATTCAGATATTATTTTTGGTTCTTTCCCACAACAGTGGTGAGTAAAATAGTTGCAGCAGACAACATATGACTCACAATGCCCACAATGCTTAAAATATTTGTTATCTGGCCTTATACAGAAAAAAAAATGTGCAGATCTCTGGTGCAGATAGGAGAGAGAGAAAAATGCTGGAGGAAAACTCAAAATTCTGTCAAATATCAAGGAAAGTAGGCTTGCCCAAGTTATGGACAGACAAAATGTCTATCAGACAAGTCTAATCAACAGGACCATTCCTTAAAAGGAAGAACTCAGCCTCCTAAAGCAAAATAGATGGGAAAAAAACAAAACAACCAGAGTTTATCAAAGGTAAATATTGGACCTTTATCAGATCTGGAAGTAAAGATACAGTTTTGATATTCTAAGGTTGTGAAAAGATAAATGAGGTGATTGCAATTTTATGAAACAGTGTTCAGAGACCCAAGGAGTGACCTTATATGCAACATTACCATGCTGACACTTTAAAATGCCTCAAGAAACACGCTAAATCTTTGCCTAAATTATTTTCTTTTATCCCTGTAAGAGTACTGCTAAACCAGGGAAGGTAGAATTCTGTGAGCAGAGGTAATTTTCTCAATGTCTCACAAGTCCAGGTGGTAGGGGCAGGATCGTACCCCAATGTGACTCCAAAGCCTGTGCTCTTTTTTCCTGTCATGCTGCCTTGGATCAATAGAAAAGATACCTCTAAAAAGTGGCTCTGTCCAAGGCAAGAAAGAATAATGAATGAAAATGAAGAGCATGATGCTGATGAGAACAATTATTGACATAAGGTCTAGATTACCAAAGAGGGCTCAGGAGACTGGGAAAATGTCATTACATATTGTTAATTATTTCAAAGCATACAAAAGTCAAAATGAACCCCAGAGCAGTGAAAATGTGCTGATATCTTACGCTACAACCTTAAGGAGAAATGTCTCTGTTCTCCAAAGGACTCAGCTCTGTATAAAATCGCCTTTACCATAGACTATGTATACATGCTATGTCGTAGTCCTATTGTCAAGTAGTTAAGCCCACTCCAGTTATTGAAATCAGAAGTCGCTCTCACCTGAGTGCTCCCTCCTCCGCTGCCACTGGAACCGTGTCCTGAAGCATTTCTCTGATCTTCCTCTTCTTTCTTCTTTCTTTCCTCATCTTCTTTCTGGCTGGAAATTAGAAAGTGGGAGGTAGGAAATAACAGATTACAGAGAGTGGTGTGCATTTTATGAGTTTCACATTGTATGAACAAATCACGTATGTATAAATTATCAAGTATCGATTTAACATCTACTATGCTACAGGCCTTCTCTGAAAATAAAAATATGAATTATATGGAGTCCTTTGCCAGGAAGGACTCTCATTACAGTAAAAGAACACCACATATACATCACCACAAACAAGACAAGGTGAGTAAAGATGGGTGCGGTGGCTCACACCTGTAATCCTTGCACTTTGGGAGACCCAGGCTAGTAGATCCCTGAGGTCAGGTGTTCGAAACCAGTCTGGCCAACAGTGCAAATTTCCATTTTGCACAATATTTATGCCACTTACTGTCCTTTCTGAACAAGTTTTGCAGCTTCCCATTACACATAGAATGGACCTCAAAATCTTTGGTGCACACTGAAGGTTGATAAAGTTGGTAAGTTCCAACTAAACAAAACGGCTTGCTTTTTACTGTACATACTACAGTTTTCCTAATTTTATATCTTTACCTGTGCTGTCTCCCTCTTCTCCTCTCATCACTCTCTGTCATGTCCACATTTCACCTGAGTTATAAGGTCCAGTTCCAACCCACCATAAAACTTTCTATTAACTGTCCCTTTCTTGAAGTACCATAACATACTACAGACAAATTTTTCATTTAACAATTCCTCCTTTATATTATATTTTCTTATGTCCACATCTAATCTCAGTGGACTATATGATTTCTGAGAAGATCATCTACTTCATTCACCTTTGTATAATCATTATACACATTGTACATTATAGATGTTCAGTAAATGCTATTGAGTGACTTAAATATTCTACATGTACTTACAAACTTTGTGTAAAGACCTACTTTTCATTTCCTGAAAACTTGTTATTTTCAACAATATAGTTGATAACTTTGACATTAAAATCTGCGTGTTTTCTTTCCAATGTGAATTGAGAGATAATCCAGAGAAAGGATCCACTTAATAGCAAATACCTTAAGAATTTTATCAAGAAAGTGTAATTGACCGGTAGGCTCTACCCAAGAACTAACAGAGGATGCAGTAACTTAGTCGTATATTTTTAATTTCTGAAACTGTGAATCTTGACCGTTATAAAGAAAGAACTATTAGATAACCTTTTGTTTCTTCTACATGTAAGGAAAGAACAAACACAATGTATACTAGCTGGTTCGTTGCTTTCCCAATTTCACCGTCCCACAGTAGGAGTTTTTTGTGCACTCACAAGACTGCCTTACACATGGCACACTTGTTGCCATGAGTCTTGCCATCTGGGCCACGCACAGGATCATTTTCTCTCGTGCAGAAAAGTTTTCCATTTTGCAAAAGACTCCGAAATTCATTGCATGTCTCCTATAAGGAAAAGGAAAAAGCTTGAGTTTCTTCTTAGAAGTTAATTTATTGAGTTCCTACTAAGTGCTTTATAAGAAAAAAAGAGAAAATAACCTGACGATTTTTGTTTTTGTTTTTGGCAATTATAGAGTTTAATTTCTATTAAGCACACAGGACTAAAGAAGAAGCCTCTATTTCTTTTTCCTTGGTAGCCCCAAAATCCAGACTAAACCTGCAACCATATGTAAGACTCTTAATAAACTGGGTTTTCTGATGACTGGGCGTAGTCCTTGTTTAGGGTTACATGAGGAATTGAGAGAGAACAAGCAGTCACTGAAGATCAAAAAATTACTAATGGCAATTACAATTGAGTTTGTATTTTATTCTGAATTCTTTAGTTCAAATTGAAATTCATGAGGATGAAAGAGGGAATTTTTCTCCTAGCTCCCCTTAAACGTTCATTGCCAGGTCCCCTAACTAGTCATGTTTAGCAAAAGAAAAATTATATGAGAAGAGAGTTTGTCTTTAGTAGTAATGTGAAAAAAGAAATTATCTCATACTGAAGAATTTTCTCTTGTAGATGTTGAAGAGTAAATCTATTTTTCATATGAACTGCTATTATTTTTAAATTTAGAATTTCAACTGTGAAATGCGATAAGCCAAACATAAAGAATTCCAGGGCGATACTTCTTTAGAGGTTATTTTAATATCAATAGTCTTTGATGGGAGCAAGGAAATGACCACAACTTGGAATAACCTACCTGGAGCCAGCCTTTTGGAACCCAAGGAAATATTATGTGGGGATGCTACTTTTTAGTCTTTTCCCCAAAAGCCGGGACTAATATATAACCGGAGGTAAAGCAAGGAACACATGGATTAACCAAATTTGGTAATCCAACACACAGTGTGCTAGAAAGAATGCATCAGGAAGTCTAGGTTTGAATTCTTTTCCTTCCAGAAATTTGAAATATGAAGATATGGGTACTGATATTTATACTCTCATTAACTTTATAAGCAAGTTCTTGTTTATCTCTGAATTTCAAATCTTAATATTAATATATGGGAACAGAACAAAGCAGGGGTTTGCAAACTGTGACCTGTGAGCAAAATCTGACCAGCCATCTCTTTTTATAAATAAAATTGTGTTGGCATCAACCATGCCCATATGTTTGTATACAGTCTATGATTGTTTTAGAGCCACACAGCCAAGTTGAGTAGTTGCAACAGAGATTACATGGCCACAAAGATGGAAATATCTGCTACCTGTTCTGTTAAGAAAAAGTTTCTCAACTTCTGAACTAAATGAACCTCTGTTTCCCTCACAGCTGGGGCTTCAGTAATTCCATAGTTATTTTTACAGAGATACTGCAAAACCTTAACCTTTCATTGCAATATAAACATTCCAGGATCACTACCTTTCCAGCTTCTCTTTTAGTTTTTGGTCTGGGTTTAGCTCCTTCTTTTTCTTTTGCTTCTTGCTGGCTATAAGAGAAGAGAGGACAAAACAATCATTCTTAGTACCCAATACATACTATTCTAAAGGAGAAATGTCTCTGCATAAAAGTGGTCCATCACTGCACTCCCTCTCCCCTCTCCCTCTCCCTCTCCCCATCTCCCTCTCTCTCTCTCTCTCTCTCTCTCTCTCTCTCTCTCTCTCTCTCTCTCTCTCTCTCTCTTTCTCTCTCTCTGTTGGAGTTTCACTCTTGTTGCCCTGGCTGGAGGGCAATGGCGCAATCTCGGCTCACTGCAACCTCCATTTCCCAGGTTCAAGCGATTCTACTGCCTCAGCCTCCAGAGTAGCTGGGATTACAGGCATGCGCCACTAAGCCCAGCTAATTTTTTGTACTTTTAGTAGAAACAGGGTTTCTCCATATTGGTCAGGCTGGTCTCAAACTTCCAATCTCAGGTGATCCATCTTCCTCGGCCTCCCAAAGTGCTGGGATTACAGGCACGAGCTACCATGCCCAACTTTTTTTTTTTTTTTTTTTTTTGACGGAGTCTCCTGTCACACAGGCTGGAGTGCAGTGGTGCAATCTTGGCTCACTGCAACCTCTGCCTCCAGGGTTCAAGCAATTCTCCTGCCTTAGTCCCCTGAGTAGCTGGGATTACAGGCACGCACCACCACTCCCAGCAGCTTCATTACTTCTATACCTCCACCAACTTAGCTTTCGAGTAGAAAGGTAAATACACACCCCTCTATACCATGTTCTTGTTAATGTTGTTAAAAGAATAAGATGCACATGCCATAGCAAACCAGTGAATAAATTTTTACTACATATTTCTTTTGAAAAATAAAGAAATTGCTTTTTTCTGCAGAAAGCATCTAAGACATCAATTAGATGTTAATACATTTTCAATTTATTAGCACCTAATGATTATACTTTTGGATTATTTGATAGTGACCTATGCTTGCAGAGAACAGAAGTCCTAGTCCCTTCATGCCATTAGCTCCAGGGTAATTTTGCTTTTAGCACATGGTTCTTTCTTAGTGGTGATTCAAGTATTGAATATTGAAGAACACTAAAAATAAATGTGCTGAGTATATGGCTTTATAATAGTAAATTTCTAAACTCAATGCAAAGACAGCCTTTATTTTCTACCTTCTGAGAAAACTTCCAGTGCCACCCCTCTTGCCCATCCAATGCTGATCTTCTCCTACACTCAGTAGCAACAGTGGCCGCCACACACTCACAAGAAGGCTTCACACATGGAGCAGGTGTTGCCGTGGATTTTCCCATCTAGGCCCTCAATAGGATCATTCTCTCTGGTACAGGGGAGTCGTCCATTCCTTACATACTGACGATATTCACTGCACAGCTCCTGCCAAATGAAGGAAGAGTTAAGACTCTAATAACTAAACACTAGAAATATTCATCCACATTACCCCTTCAAAAACTAAAACATAACGATTGCATGGGAAAAGGTGATGTTGAAGGTTATTAGCTAAAATGCTTCTCAGAGACCCAGGTCACACATTACTTGGAATGTGGATTGCCGTTATTTATCTCATTAGAAAACCTTCAGCTCAATATCATTCCACACTAGGCACTGTGAAAGACAGAAAGAAGAATAACGTATGGTCTCTTAAATAAGTGAAGGAATTTGTGACATGCAGAATAAATACCCTTTTACCAAATACGTCTGTGTTAATACCTGGGACCTGAGAATATGCTACCTTACATGACAAAAAGGGCTTTGCAGATATAATTAGGTCAATGACCTTGAAATGAAAACATCCTGTATTGCCATAATGGGCTCAAGGCAAGGCTCAATCAGTCCTTAAAACTGCAATAGTGAGGCAAAAGAGAGTGAGAGGGAGCTGTAACTACAGAACGGTCAGGGAAATACAACATTGCTAGCTCTGTAGATAAAGGGGTCCAAGAACCAAGGAACATGGACAGCCTCTAGATCTGAAGAAAGAGACATGGATTTTCCCCTGGACACTCCAGAAAAGGAATAAAGCTCTGCCAACCCTTTGATTTTAGCCCAGTGAAATCCTTTTTAGACTTCTAGCCTATGGAATTATAAGATACGAAGTTTATGTTGTTGTTGTTTTATTTTTTATTTATATTTTATTTTACTTTAAGTTCTGGGATGCATATGCAGAACGTGCATGTTTGTTACGTAGGTATACATGTGCCATGGTGGTTTGCTGCACCCATCAACCCATCATCTGGGTTTTAAGCCCCTCATGCATTAGGTATTTGTCCTAATGCTCTCCCTCCCCTCTCCACCAAGCCCCCATAGGCCCCAGTGTGTGATGTTCCACTCTTTGTGTACATGTGTTCTCTTAAGTGGGAGTTGAACAAAGAGAGGTTTATGTTGTTTTAAACCACTAAGGTGTGCTAATTATTACAGCAACCATAAAAAACTAACACAGAGTTTTTAATTTCTTTGAAGAAAACGCATAGAAGCAACTACAAGTTATAATAAAACAAATGATGTAACTAATTTTTAAAAAATTACTGGCATAATAGATGGTAGGTTATTCAGCATATTGCATGGATGGGAAAATCTGTAGGGAGCAGTTAACACACAGTCTGATCCATAAAGAATGGCCAGAATTTGGTACACGAGAGGGATATTCTGACTGTGAGTAATGCCATATAGAAGGCAAAGATCATTGTATGCTGAAGAACTGGTGAATTGTCCAATGTGGAACACCCCACTGGATGATGAGATTAGACCAATAATGACATTCACAATAATGAATATAATATTGCAGAGTGGGTACTTAAGATATTTATGATGTTATGCTGTTATACATGAGTAAGTTTTAGGGACTTCATAGAAATAGTATACACACCAACAATATCCTTAACTTATGAGTGAGAAAGCTAATACACAAAGATGTTAACTCTGGGAATCTTACTGGTAGGGAAATGAAGCAAGGATTTGAACCCTAGCAGTCTGAGTCTAGAGTCCAATTTTTTAACCACATTGGTTTTGTAACCACAAGATGGGAAGCCATGAATCAATGCTTGGCATCTCCAAGAAATCAGAAGGTGGCCAGTATAATTGGCACATGGAGAACAAAGTAGAATAATAGAAAATGTGACCTATAAAAGTAGCAGGGAATCAGACCACGTGTGGCACTTCCAACCACTACAACCACCTTGATTTTTACTTTGAGTGAGATGAGAAGCCACTGGGTGGCATGACCTTCCTTACGTTTGTAAATAATTACTTTGGCTTAAGAGTTGAGAGTAGACTAACCAAAGGTAAGAGCAGTAGAAATGAGATCTTCTAAATCAGAAAAGGATAAAGATAAGAATAATGAGGACGTAAGGCATAAAACCAGGAATAATACAAATGGCAGAAGGTGTAAAATCCAAAGTGCATCATGAGCCTTAAAGCCAGAACTTGTGATTCAATTATTTGTTCTCAAATTACTAACTACATATAATTATAATTATATATGATACTATTTGTGTCATATATTATAACATTTATAATATGTTAATACATAGTAAATAATATATTATTAGTATATAATTACATTATATATATATATAACTAATTAAATATATTTCTTAACTTCTTGTCTCAGCCGCCAAGTCCTCTTCTATAAAATATAGCTAATAATATATAACCTGAATGGCTACTACAAAAATCAGTCATAAAACTTTTATGCCGTGATGCAAACAGTAGTAACTAATGTACATCTATCATTGTTATCGTCATCATGTGAGATGTTAAAGAATGCAAACTGAAGACTTAGAGATGCTTTTATCTCCTCAAAATCTCGCAGAGAATTAAGTGGGATGAAAACCTAGCTGTTGTGCTGTTTTTAAGCTAAACACCCATATTCAAATATGCACTTGAGAAAAATCTGAACATCTGTCTCTTTTAGCTTGCATTCAGACAGTAAGATGACAATCTATATATACTTCTTTCTTGTGTAATATTATTGACACAATCAGGGGAGAAAATAGTGACTGAGCTCTCTAATGCACGAGCAATTAACAGATTTAGTGTGAATAAATTGAAGAAGGAAAGAGGAGTACTCTTGTATATGAGGATCCAAACACAATTTCTCAGTTTGCAAAGTCACTAAGAATACCGGGATGAGGCGGAGGACGTAGGAGCCCTGCCGTTTAATATTTACATGGCTCTGATGATCTCAAACAACTACCTGTACTGCTTCTCTTTTAACTTTTTCAGCCTCAACATTGTTTATTTCTTCTTTATGATTTTTCTTCTCTTCTTCTTCAAGTTTGCTGCAATAGAAAAAGAAGATATAGGCTGAATATGATTCCCTATTCTTTTTGGAAGTAAGTTTTTAAAAGGAATGAGGATCTTGCAAACCAATAGTCAGATTCAGTCTTCAATGCAAATTTATCTGGTCTGAGAGATGCTTTTGCTTTGACCAATAGCGCAGATAAATTTAGTTGTTTAGATTCCCCCCTCTAAAGAGGAATAATTATAAAACAAGCATGAACCTTTATTAGTCTGTGGCCCTCAGACGATCTTATATTCTATAGGTTACTCACTTTAATTAGCTTTCCGAATAAAGCTACAATTGTCTTGATTTTATTTTACTTGTTAAACTTTTCCTCTCCAAATAGCTACCATATCAGTGATAAAAGAAAAAGGTGATGCTAAGTCAGATGATGGGCTCGAAGTCATAATACACCATGTTTCATTTTAAACTAAAAATTTTAAATATTATTTCAGGAGAGCTAACATTTAAGTTGAAATTCAAGGTTTGGATTGCAGTAGTGATTCAAGTCCAGTAAGATTCAGCTGCTAATTTTTTGAGGTTGAACACAAGTCTAATATTCTGGTATTCTTGTCATTTTCTACTGACATAGAACATGTTAACGCTGGAAAATCCTTAGCCTGTACTACATTTAGTCATTACCACAACACCAGCAAATTGAACAGGTGGGTGAAAAACCCCGGCTTCTTGAATTTCAGGCCACTGTTTCTTGTAGTGCTCTACTGTGTCAGCCTCCCCTCTTCAGGAATTGTATGCGTTCACTTAAGGTCTAACTTAGATCTGACTTGGATCAAGACATGTGAAAGTTAGGAGACATTAACTTTGCATCTCAACAGGGATTATTTAAATAAATATTTTTCTCAGCATTTATTTTAGGATTAAGTTCAGGAGCAGATTAAGAGCCTAAAAATGGAGGCGAATTAGAAGTGATAATGATCGACTTCTATATTGTCCCACACGCTGGAGCTCTGGTCACAGGCTTACCTACACCACTCAGCAGAACAAAGGCCCTGAACCTGCTTAACAAGATGTTTTAGTAAACATTTAGGGCATGAGCCTGTTTCCTAAAGGTTTTACTCCACACTAAGCCACTTAAGAATGTGTGCACTATACAGTAATGACCCTAAAAGGATAAATAACAATCCACCCTGTTTCATTTCTTGTTCAGGCTATTTTAATAGTCCTTATATACTGACCTCCATCCAGCTTGTTTTTCCTTAGCTCCTGCCTAAATATACAAATAAATCATAAAATGTCAGGAGTGGGAAAGAGATCAAAGATCATCCAATCCAAATCATAAAACTTATGATCTCTCCTTTTACAAATAAAGATTATCAAGTGTTAAGAAAAATTTGCATTAAATTGAGCCTTTTCCCTTAATTTAATTAGAAAATAGTAGGATAACTGAATAAATAGTATTGTCACCATATGATTCAATACTACTTAATGTCCTATCCATCTGCTTTTAAATCTTTCTAGCCTACAACCCATGGTCTATACTCTACACATGCAAGAAGGATCTGAGAACAGGGGCGATCGTTAATGAAGAAATTCAGTGGGAGAGATGGGGTAGACACTCACAACACACTGGCACACATGGCACACTTGTTTCCATGCATTTTGCCATCTGGGCCGCGGACAGGATCATGCTCCCTGGTGCATATGAGTGTTCCATTCCTCACTTGGTCCCGAAATTCACTGCAGATTTCCTAGAAAATGAAGAAAATATTTTCTCAGAGTAGTTTTCTATCCTTCCTGCATCTTTTCCTATTATGAGGAATACGTAATGCAGAGTAAAATGTAAAAAGAAAAGTGATAACATGAAGTAGTAAATCAGTAAGTGTTTTAAAAACTTCCATCATAAACTGAGAATTATCCTGGCACTATAGCAGATCTGAAAATAGGTACAGTTCTGTTGCATACCATAGTCTATAAAAGCTAGGAAAGATCAGAGGTGGGAAGATTCCATAGGCAGGCCTAAAGGAAAAGCCTTCCTGGAGGAAATGAGAATATTGCTCACCCATGGATTGTCTTTAGGAGGCTGAGAAAGAAGAGAAAAAACATGCTTAACTTAAGAAATAAATATATACCTTGTCTAGATATGGTGGCCCACACCTGTAATTCCAACACTTTGGAAGGCCAAGGCAGGAGTACTTGAGCCCAGAGTTCAAGACAAGCCTGAGCATGATAGAAAAACTCTGAGTCTACAGAAAAATTCAAATAATAATAATAATAATAATAAATTGCCAGGTATGATGGTGTGTGCCTGTAGTCCCAGCTACTCAGGAGGCTTAGGTGGGAGGATCACCTGAGCCCAGGAGTTTGCAGTTGTAATGAGCCATGACTGCACCACTGCATTACAGCCTGGGCAACAAAGTGAGACCCCGACTCAAAAATAAATATATTTTAAAAGACATATCTTTATAAAGAGAAGAGAACAAGTCTTATCCCTGGAGAAACTGACATATTTCTGGGAGTAAGTTGATTTTAAAAAATTAAATACTAGAAATGGGAGATATGGATTTAAAGCAAGGGAGTAACAATAGGAGTGGCAAGAAGGAGAAATACGTTAATACCACTGGAAAATCTAAGAGGATTTGGCAGATGATCAAATATGATGGATGATAACAAATTTTCAATTCTAATTGATCAGTGAAAAGATAGTTTCACCTAACAGAAGCACTTAGTTTTAAAAAATGAGTCAGTCAGAAGGTAAATTTTAAACTGTGTCAACTTTTCCCCAAATAGTGATGAGGCTGGTACTGTTGTGGCTATTGTCAAGAAATAGAATAAACAGGCCAGGTGCCATGGCTCAGACCTGTAATTCCAGCACTTTGGGCTGCCAAGCTGGGAGAATCACTTGAGGTCAGGAGTTTAAGACCAGCTTGGTCAACATGATGAAATCCTGTTTCTACTAATAATACAAAAAAAAAAAAAAAAACACAGCCGAGCATTGTGGCGCATGGCTATAATTCCAGCTATTAGTGAGGCTGAGGCAAGAGAATCACTTGAACCCGGGAGGTGGAGCTTGCAGCAAGCCGAGATCAGGCCACTACACTCCAGACCGGGCAACAAAGCGAGACTACATCTCAAAAGAAAAACAAACAAAAAGAAACAGAATAAAGAAAGGTAAATCTTGTATGTAGCTATTATATGAGAATAATTCAACATCTCCACATGAGATAGATTTGGCTCTGCTACGTATAAAATTTTAAAATTATAAATGCACGGTGAGTGGACTAAAAATAACTGGAAAGTCAGAGACCCTACTTAATGATCTTAATTGGGTGAAAGAAAACTACTACTTGATCCATAGCTGGGTGGTTTTAAAGCTCAAATATGATAATATATGTGCTTTTGTTTTGTACATTTGGATGATTGAGATCTTATGCTCTCTATCTGAAACAGAGATATGAATAATGTAAACAAATTAGTAAATGGCATAAGTTAGTATTAATACTCTAACAACAGAAATCTAATAAAAGCAAAATATGGGGAAAATTCCTTGCAAAAAGTTAGCAGTCCACTTTTTATGAAAGAAACCTCTAAATTTGAATAATTGTAAGATAAAATTGATATTCTGGATAATTCTAATCAAAACCCTTTTTGTTCAGTTTAAAAGTGTTCTTCATTCATTTTAGGCATAAAAATTAAACAGAAAACATTTATACTAATGAGATAAATAGAGTACCATTGTAAAGAAAAGAAAAACATCAGGGCACAGCATCAGCATTACCTTTGCAGTTTCTCTTTTAGCCTTTGCTTTTGCTCTTTCTTCTTGTTGACTGTAAGACAGCAAAAAGAAAAGAGAGAAGAAATGGATCTTATTAGAATATATCCTTAACTTTCATAGCTTGATTATCTATTGCTTTGACTATTCTCAAACAATGCCAAATATCCACCTAGAATAGTTTATAATTTTATTGGATGATAAACAATCATGGTTCACTCTACCTCAAGAGAATGGTGTGCAAGAAAAAGCCCCTGAATTAGGAAGTAAACCTATTTAACTTCCCAGTATATGCATTGCAATAGTACTTTCTTATTTGCCGATTCTTTTGCATGTGTGATTACTCTTTATTTAGAGGTAATATTTATCTTTTGAGAGGCAATACAGCATGGTGGTTAAGAGGAAAGACTCTGGAGCCAAATTCTGTAGGGAAAGCAAGAAGTACCTTGACCTTTCTGTGCCTTCTTTAAGTGTGTGTGAAGGAGAAGAAGTAATAAAAGTACCTTTCTTATTGGAATGTTATGAGCGTTAAATGAGTGACTACATGTAAAGCAATTAGAACAGTACCTGGTACAATATTATAATAATTGGTATAATTGTCATAAGGGATTGACATCATCATTATTGTAATTATTGAAGTGAAACTTTCCTTCCAGAATTAGGCATATGGTGGGAATGAAGTGAAACTGATAGATGATTCATTTTGGATAGATAGCTACGAGTGTTGCAACTTGAGCTTCCTGGATAGGATCTACAGCATAATTGGATATATAACACAAATAGTTCAAAATGTAGAAAAACTGATGTAATTTGTGAAAATGTTTTAATGTGTTCCAATCAACAAAAGACTTGCTTATAGATCAAACTAAAACTTTTTTAAAAATTGAAAAGACTGTTTTCACATGGTATGAATGAAAGTGCGCAAAAACTAACTATGGAGGGTAGAATAATTCTCAAAAAAACCAATCACCTTTGTTAATGTGTCCATAAAACATGAGGCGATAAAGGTATATTTCTTTTCAATAAAGAATTTATATATTTATGGGATAAACTGACTAAAATAGATCCAAAATCATGGGATTTTTCATACTTCTTTATATGAAAACCGATCTAACCTTTACCGTGAGTCTAAGTTGACTAAAAAAATTTAAGCAGCATTTTCTTTCCCCAGTGGGCAATTGTTAGAGGAAGCAGCAAAGATGACTACTTAGAGGCAGAATTAGTTGCTTGTTACTCAAAGAGTAATGTAAAGGAGAAGAAAAAACAGGCTGAAAGACCTTGCTTAGTGATTATATTCTGTCTATACCCCAAATCAAGAAACACATTATCTTTTTCTTCATCTATAAGTCCTATATCCTCTCCTTACTTCTCTATCATTCTCAGCTGTTTTGATCCTTAGTTTTGTTTTTTGTTTTCGCTTTTTATCCAGTTTCATCTGTTTCATGTGGTTGTTGTGAAGATTAAATGAGATTAGGTAGCAAAGCTCTTAGCAAATACAATATAATTATATGAATTCAACAAATGTTTGTTGTGATAATTATATGGTCATCATCTTAACTTTCCTTCTTATAGATCTACAGTACTCTAAGCCTCAAGTGCTATGGGAAAATATGCTGGATTATATTGCTTTCTATCAGGGAAGACTAAATAAATTAAGTCCTTTCTAAGATTCTTGGCACATGGGAAATACAATGGGATATTTCTTTAGCCAAAAAATCAAGTGTTTAAGAAAATCCTAGTCATGCCTTTGAAAGGCCATACTATGCCATTCATTCTAAAGACCTGTTTTTAGGCACCCTATAAATAGGCATCCAACTCCTACATAGTAAAACTCCCATTCTTGTCTTTCTCTGCTTTATTACAAAGTCAGTCTTCATTATGAGCCCAAGTATTTCTTCCTATAGCTCTTTTCCATTTTAAATATATTCCTTAAAATCACATAGAATAAGTAGGAAGAAAGGTAGTGAACAAAAAGACTCATAAATTTTCCATGCATTATAATATTTTACATGTAATCATATGTATTTCCTATTTCACCTGATCATTTTTTCATAAAACTAAAAGCAATTAGTATAGTTATCATGAAGTATTCTCTTCTCTGGGTGAATGATTCTAGGTTACTTCTGAAATGCCATAGAAGAAATTATTCTGCACCTCATTTTTTTAACTTACTTGACAAATAGTAATTGTACATATTAATGTAATTCAGTGTGATGTTTTCATAGATGTATACATCGTGGTGATTAAATCAAGCAATTTACAGGGTTGTCCCACAATACTTATCTTTTTTTGAAAGGTGTAAGGACATTTATAATTTACTTTTTTAATAATTTTGAAATATATGATATATTCTTATTAACTATAGTCACTGTTGTTGTCCAATACATTCCATAAATGTATTCCTCCTGTTTAAAACTTTGAACCCGTAGATCAACATGTCCTCATTCCCAAACCCATCCTTATCTATCCCCATTCTCTGGTAAGCACCATCCTACTCTCTACAATAAGTTAGCTTTTTTTAGATCCCACATACAAGAGAGATCACACATTACATGTTTTTCTGTGTCTGGTGTATTCTGCATCTCTTTCTGTCATAATAGTTATAATCAGAAAGCCCTCCACTTGTTTGTTGTTGCTGCTGTTTGTTTTTAGTCCATTTAAATATGACACCCAAAACTGAATGCTACACTGAAGAAGAAAATGTGTTGTTCACAATTGTTTGAAAACATCCCATGGAAATTTTCACTGTTCAGTCCTCAGACTCCATGGGTCTTCGGCTCTACTCACAAGAGGGCCTCACACATGGAGCAGGTGTTGCCATGCATTTTCCCATCTGGGCCCTGGATGGGGTCATTTTCTCTAGTGCAAAGAAGCGGTCCGTTTTTCCTGGATTTGCGGTATTCACTACACAACTCCTGTGAAATTGAGAAGGGAAGTTGATAGTGTTGAACATAGGTTGAATCAGATTGCAAAAATAGCTGAAGCTTATACATTTTTTCTTAAATGAGGATCAGTAATTGGCTTATTTTAGAATGGTTAACTTTGAAGGCTTGGCTTTTTTAAGTGATAAAAGCAATGAACCCCTCAACCAAGAAATAGTCAAATATTCACACAGGTAACTGCACCCATGCAAACACACATGAAAACACAAACTATACAATTCTTTCATACAGTTTTAAGGAGTGCATGTGTTCCCTGAACATGATCTGTGCATCCTCAGTGCCATGTCCCTCAGAGTTATCGAAGGAGATTCACTCACCTCAAAGGAAGCTTTACTCTCAGGTTGTCTTTTGTTTCTTGATTCGCCTTCCTTCTTTTTCTTTTCTTCTTCTTCTGCTTGGCTAAAAGGGTATGGTTAGAAAAGATAAGTAAAAATCATAGAATCTCCGCATTAGAAGTGATCTCAAATGTAATTTAATTTTACACTTAACAGTGATTAAATTCTTATAATGTGATATGCCTAACCCTGTGCTTACACTGTGAAATCCTCACAATTATATTACAAAACTAGTATTATATCTCCAAATTACAAATTAAAAAACTGAAAGACAGAATGCATAACTCACCCAAAGACATAGAGATAATAAGTACAGTGGAGGGATTTAAACCCTAGCCCAGAGGTGGTTTTCTTAATTTCCAGTGCTCACTACTCTATCTCTAATGACTCTCAAGCCTTTGCTTTAATCTGCCTGTAAAGTCTACTTATATCATCCTTGGCACTCCGTAGTAAATCATCCAACTTTGAAATCCTCAAACTGTTAGGATGTTCTTCCTGGAATCCAGTGGGAATCTGTCTTCCAGGGCTTTCATCCATTGGCCCATTGGCCTCACTTTTATTCATGAAGATAAGCTAGAACTTATCCTGTTCCCACACTTAAAAAGAAAAACTACTTGAATATTTCAAGATTGCAACTTTCCCCTTGCTTAAATATGAAGTCTTAACAATCTTCCAAGGACATAGATTTTTAAATACATGTCTCCAATTGGGCAGTTTCTCTAAATATGCTTTAATTCTTTCATTTTTTTGTTGAAGTAGCCCTCTCATAATTGAACATGGAAATAAAGTAGAAAGAACAAAATCATCCCTCATGTTCCCAGCTGCAGGACCACTCACAAGAAGATCTCACACATGGAGCAGGTGTTGCCATGCACTTTCCCATCTGGGCCCTGGATAGGATCATTCTCTCTGGTGCAAGCAAGTTTTCCATTCCTCACAAGCTTTCGGTATTCACTGCAAAGCTCCTGTCAAGATAGAACAAGTAAGTTGGCCATATTTTCCATTTCTACTTGAAGCAGAAGATTCAAACATCTACATTGGCAGAAACTAATGTTAAGTCTCCTTGAGCTGAGGATTTTAATTGTGTTTTTCTCAAATGCAAAATTCAACTCAACAACAAGAAAAACATCATATGCTGAGAGGAAAAAAATAAAACATAGTATGATGGCCTGATATTATACAAGCAATACACAAGCAAATTCCACTATAATCCAAACATAATAAAATAAGTACAAACATAGAGGGTACAAGAAAATCTGAGAACTCAAAGTTTGGGATCATGAAATCTGACTGTGGAAACCAGGGAAGATGTCATGGAGCAAGAATAATTTAGGTGAGACCCTGAAAGTATAAATAGGATTTGACTGGGTGAACAAAATGAATTGGGAAATATGCACACAACATTATGAAAATAAAATAAGCTGAAAAACAAAGATAAGAAATGACATGGCACATAGCAAAGCATGATTTTCTGAATGGAGATAAAGGTACAAATAAGAAGAGAGATAATGAGATTAAAGTATATCCTGTATTTGATGATGAGCTCTTGTGGGTTTTAAGCAGGGCAGTGTTATGATCTAATTTACATTTTGAAACATTACTCAAGCTGTGTTATGGAGACTGGTTGGACAAGAGAAAGGATAGAATCCAGAGAAAAAATTACGAGACTTTTATCATTAAAACCATAGGTGATGATAACTGAGCTAAGGCTTTGGATACTATTATTGTAATATTTCAGAGATAAAATTCCTGCTTTGGGTGATAATCAAGGGATTTTTATCTCAAATTAGATGTGAAATATCAGAAATTCATACGTAGAAAGCATATATGTAGAGTTTTCTCTGGAAAGTAGTTAGCAAAAGCTAATAGTCTCTAAGTGATAAAATTAGAACTAAGTTTTTTAGCTTTTAAACTTTTTTTTTAATTTTGCAGAGTTAGTTTTGAATCAACAAGAAGGGACCAATCTTCCAATATAATTCATCTTGGTACCATCCCCAGGTTGAAGAGTTAAGACATTCTTGGGATTTCTGCAGGGCAAAATCTCAGCCTTTAGGCTCTTAAAGTTTGTTCAAATTATAGCACCAAGTAGGTTTTATTGGATGGATTCTACTCACTGAATATGAGGTTGCTTTTCCAGATTGTCTTTTATTTCTAGCTTGTGCTTCAGCCTTTTTCTTTTCTTCACTTTCTGCTTGGCTGAATAAGAGAGAAAATGAAGAGGATCCATTAGGAACACACATGCCATGGTTTCTCCACATAATTGCACTGTTAACTGTTCTTCCTCCTTAGGGCAGAACAATTTTGTCCCTTTATCACTATGTATCAATGAGAAGCAACAAAATATCCTCCAGTGTAGTATGATACTATGATTTCTTTATAATGTCTGTTTAATGTTGAATAAAAAGACAACAATAGTGGATCTGGGAAACTTGCTTTCTGTAAAATAGCTTTCTTGCCTATAGTGAGAAAAGGAGCATCATCAATGTTCATAACAGGCACCAAAACTAAAATTATGGTGACGTAACACCTGAAGACTGAAAGTGGCCTTAACAAAGCATGTCTACTCATCCACTTGTTACTCAGAGAACATGAGAGGGGCCTTGGCTACATCTCAGGATATGACTACAACCAAGGTCCATGGTCTATTTACCACACCCTACCATGCATACTCTAGCTTTCCTTTAAACATAAATATTTTGCTTACTCACAGCTGTTTCATCTAAAGGACAAGATGTGAGAAAAAAAAAACATAATTTCCATATACTTTTAAATAAGCTTAAATTTACTTTGTACAATGGAATTGCACAGCATGTACAATTAACTGATATTTCAGCCATATGTAGTAGTCAGTCAAAACAAAAAAAGCCATAGATTCTATATTAAGTTAAATACTTAATTTGAGCTCAGCCAAATAAAGTGAAAGCCATCTTAAATTTTGAAAGAAAATTGTCCATTCTAACTTATCAAGACATGTCACATTATACAAAATAAAAGCCAGTGTCATTTTATAGGAGTTTAGTGTTGTTTTATGGGCAGTTTGACTTCATTCCATTTCTACATTAAGCTCCACCTTTAGACTCTTGACTCCCATAGAAGATGAGATACCTATAAATTTCTAAAATAGGCTCACATGTGAAGTTTCAGAAGTGAGGGAGCAACTAATATTTATACAAGTTCATGTTTGTCAGGACATTCCAGTGCTAAAAGAGGGAGTGTCGAAGGAACAAAGTGTCCTGAAATAAATAACTCTAGGTATCTACTCCCAGCTCTATTACTGATATTTTCCATGTAACTTATTCAGCTCACTTCCTGTCTTGAGCCACAGTTTCCCCATCTATGAAACAAGATGTTTCTATTAAATAACCTGTGAGATCCCTTCTTTCTTTGACATTCTAAAACTCTATACTCACAAGTAGGCTTGACACATGGAACATAAGTTGCCATGCATTTTCCCATCTGGACCACGAATAGGATCATTTTCTCTAGTACAGAAAAGTATTCCATTCTTTGCTTGATCTTGATATTCACTGCAGAGTTTCTAAATAATGAATATGAGATAGTTTAGATACAGTTCTGTTTTCTGTTTATTAATGTTGCATGTTATTTTTACAAAGAAATTAACTGAAAAAGAGTCATCAAAGGATGAAAAAAAAGGTTAGGATTTAGGGCCATCCAAAAATTGTGATATTTCTCTCTTTGTAATATCCATTTGCATCTTCAACAAATGTTTAAGTTAGGAATATATAAACATAAATGTGATATATTATTGTTCTTTATCAGTCAAATGGAAAGGATAAGTAATTGCAATATAAAAAGCTAAAAAATTTAATACTAGTCTGAATTAAGTGTGTATAAGTATAAAGGAAAGAATAATTCATGGAAGCTCAGAGAACTTAAGTCTAAATTCTATCTTGAGAATATATTCGGGAACATAATGTGGCAAAAAGGCCATCCAAGAAGAATTAAATACACAAACACACAGAGGCATGAAAGAACATGTTATTTTGTGGTAATCTAACGTATTTAGGAATATAGTGGCTAAATAATAAGTTGGATAAAGAGACTATTCAGGAAATGGTCAAAAGGAGACCTTGAAAATCAAAGACCACTAAACTTTGAAAGGAATTTGGATATTACTTTTAGGCAATGGGAAAATTATAAATGTTTACAGCAGAAAATGGCAAAATCAAATCTTTGTTTTACAAAGTTTATCAACCAGATGTGTAGAGGATTTGATTGACTAGAGGCTGAAGTCAGAGACACTAATTATAATAAAAGAGAAAAAGAGAGAGAGTGAGGAAAAGAGAATAAAGAATAGACAGAGAGAGGGAGAAAAAGAGAAAGGAGAAAGGAAAAGGAGAAAGAAAAGGAAGGCAGGAGAAAATTGGAAATAAATGATAAAAAAGTAGTTGAAGGATATTTGAGTATTAAAATTAAAGGGACTTGGTAACCTAGGACTGAGGGGAAGAAAGCAGTTCAAAATGAGGCTTAGGCTAAGTATAGTGGCTCATGGCTGAGTAATCTTAGCACTTTGGAAAGCTGGAGTGTGAGGATAGCTTGAGCGTGGGCAGTCAAGGCTGCAGTGAATCACGATCCCACCACTATACTCCAGCCTGGGTGACAGAAAAAAAAAAGAAAGAAAATGGAGTTACACAGGCAGAAGGTGGCCTGATGGGGTGGCTTACTTAGAACTGTGGACTGTGCATCACAGAAGTCTGGAAAACTGTAAGAATGAGTTAGGGTTTCTACAGGAAGTAAAATGATCTTAATATCTCCAACAATGGAATTTTATAGCATCACTGACTCATGGAACCATAATATTTGTTTTCATAGTCTATGAAACATAAAAACAACATGGAGGATGAATTAAATCTTGAAGGCCGAGAAAGATGGAAACCAACAATATATAGGACAGACATGATGCCAATACATCAGTGCAAAACAAAACTATTAAATGTCTGAGCTAAGATGGTAGCAGTAGAAAAACAGAGAGATGACTAGTTAAGAGATGTTTAGAAAGCAGAGCACAGTATAATTTAAAAGAATGCATATTAAAATTGATTATTAACATTGATTTTCAAGTAAATATCTTCACAATACCTACCACACATCAAAGAATACACATCACTTTGAAATCAGACAACTTTTTGATATATTACCTTCATTTAGGAGAACAAAACTATATTATTAGTGTGACTTGATTAATTTCCTCCAAATACAGCTTGTATTTAGAGATTGTAATGCCATAATTTTTAAATCTAAGCTTCATAAAACAATGACTATAGTTTCCAGCAAATCTACTAGTAGTGGGGAAAATATTAAGCAATACTGAAAATGCATACTACATAATATGCACTCACACGCACCCACCCTCACATACAAGTTATAGCTAGATTAATGAAATTGATTCTCACCGCAATTTCTCTTTTAACTTTAGTTTTTTCATCAGCTTTTCCCAAATTTTGATCTGTTTTACCATTTTCCTCTGAAAAACGCTTCTTGCTGGAAAAAGAAGAATAAATCAGTAGAGATGCTTTCGATCTTTACGTTATAAAATAGTCATTAGGTACAGATGAAAAAATATCTAAGTTTTCCTGAGTTTGAGTACAAGCACTTTAAAAACACCTCAAATCCCTGAAAAGACCCTTTAATTTCACCTTTATACCATTTCTTTCCACTAAATGATCTTTTTTTCTCAGCTCCCTTTCTTAAAAAAAATTAAAATTCTTCAGCTTACATTCTACCTTTTTGAAGAAGACATTCCAGTTCCCAAATTCAAATAAGCTCTATGCCTATTGCTGTGTTTTTGTATCTGAATGGTCTTTTTCTTATACAACAGTTTTAATTCTATTTTGCAGTATATAAATATGTGCAGATGTCCATGGCTTATTTCTGCTACTGAACTTAAGCTTCTTGATACTAAGTAATCATCATTCATATCTTCATTCGTTCATTCACTCATCATTTAGTGAGTAATTACGGTTTTTTCGGGCACATGTTGACTGAGCCCTGGGCATGTAGTAGGACACAACATAAACACGTACCCTACCATTTTGGAATTCTTGAGGCTGGTGGAAAAGACTGAAAGTCAACAAATAGTTGGAAAAATAATTGTATAATTGCTAGCTGTGATGGTGATTAGGAAAGACAATTACTAAAGATTATGAGGATTTAATTTCAATAAGGGAGGGACTTTTGGAGTTCTTGTCCAAGGAAAGATAACCTGAAATATGATCTCCAAGAAGGGACATCAGCTGGCCAAGACTGGGAGGAACTGGTATAGGACAGCACACAGGGAAGGGCTCATAGAGCTTGAGAAGCTGAAAGTGTCATGAGACGTCATCTAAGACATCACAAATGTAACAATTTGTATGTTGTGATATCTGCCCTTCTGTCAAGGTCACATGTCCCAGATAAAAAATAAGAGTAACCCGATTAATGTATAAGCCTGAAATATCGAAGAGTGTTTAATGAACACTCTTACTATGGGATCAACTGAAGAAAAGCAATCGAAGTCTTGATACCTGCTTTTACCCCCATTCTATACTAGAATTAGTTCACAAAGAAGTTCACAAAGGTCACAGGACAATGTTAAGAAGTATGGGCCAGGCGCGGTGGCTCAAGCCTGTAATCCCAGCACTTTGGGAGGCCGAGGAGGGTGGATCACGAGGTCAAGAGATAGAGGCCATCCTGGTCAACATGGTGAAAACCTGTCTCTACTAAAAAAAAAAAAAAAAAATACAAAAAATTAGCTGGCCATGGTGGTGCATGCCTGTAATCCCAGCTACTCAGGAGGCTGAGGCAGGAGAATTGCCTGAACCCAGGAGGCGGAGGTTGCGTTGAGCCGAGATCGCGCCATTGCACTCCAGCCTGGGTAACAAGGAAAATATTCCATCTCAAAAAAAAAAAAAAAAAGAAGTATGGTGTAAGTCAATATTCCACCTGGCAAATGGACTCCATTTGTCCTCACAAATAGACACACATCAGTAGTGCCTACTCACTAGGCGATATTACGATTTGTAGAGGACATAAAATTGCTCAAATGGTTCTCAACAACAAAGCTTCCTTTCAAAGGTATTTTTACTCATCAATCAAATCAATCTCCACTTCCATCTTTTGAACCACTCCAAAAAAACTGCTTCTATACTCACAAAATGTCAGCACACAGGGCACATTTGTTGCCATGCATCCTGCCATCAGGGCCACGGACTGGATCACTCTCCCGTGTACAAAAAAGTCTTCCATTTCTCACTTGATTTTCATATTCCTTGCAAAAATCCTTTGAAAAGACAATTATATTTATTTTACTTCATTTCATTTCAGGTTTTTTTTTTTTGAGACAAGATTCTGCTCTATTGCCCAGGCTGGAGTGCAGGGGAATGATTATAGCTCACTGAAGACTCTAACCTCTAGGCTCAGAGATCCTCTCACCTCAGCTTCCTGACTAAATGGGACTACAGACATGCACCACCACCACACCCAGCTAAATTTTTTTTTTCAGAGACTGGGTCTCATCGTGTTGCTCAGGCTGGTCTTGAATTCCTTGGCTCAAGTAATCTTCCTTCCTTAGCCTGCCAAAGGGTTGGAATTATAGGCATGAACCACCATATCCAGCTAACAGTAATTTTACTTACCATTTTTCTACTTTTTAATCTAGAGACTTTATAATAGATTTATTATGACAAAACATCAGGACTAGAAGTTGGCAAATACATACAACATATTAATGAGAATTACTAAGAAATAGTAATTATAATGTCAACTACTTGGCACTTGCATCTATTATGTGGTATTTATTAAAAGGTAAAATAGCCTCAGGAAAAATAAAACTGACTAATAATTTTCTTGGATTAAAACTAGATATTTCTTTTCACCTTTCAAATTAATGGGGGTTAGAGGGATATCTTTCATAAGGTTCCAGCACAAACATAACAAAATGTAGCAGCCAAGACAAATATATATATATACATATAGTGAGATGGGATGTCTAAAGGTGACTTAATATGAACCTAATCAAGAATAATCCAACCTAGTTTGCAAGTAAAAGGAAACATGATATTATCCAACAGTGTTATGCTTACTTTAGTTCATTTTCTCTATGGATCTGTGGATAATTTTTATGTATTCTGCCTTCTTTATCCATGATCATTTCTGACATCATAGGTGGAAACCTCAAAGAGAGTGGATCTAATTTCCTTTCACCCTCACCTTAGAGGGGTAGACCATCAAGACTGATACTGATTTAGAAAACCTAAAAGGGAGTAACTTCTCCCCCAAAAAAATCCAAGAGGGACTTGTTTTCAGATTTCCCGATGCATTGGTCCAATACTTTCAGGCTACTTTCTGTGTTTTGAAAATTCTACTATGTGGTGAGGGCTAAACTTTACAAAACACAATACTCTAAGCTCCTCTAGGCTTGGGGATCTCTATGTCATTAAACATTTATGAATATAGTACTATAATATGACCTACAAAAAAATCCTGGTCTATCACTTGTTTTTCAACTGTGTGACCTTCGTCATCCCATTTCAGGAAAGAAAACATGGGCATTAAGAACATGCTGGGAGTCAAATGACCTGGGCCACCACATTGTGCCTTTCACCTAACTGGGAGACCACAGCAAAGTCCCCTCGCCTTTGGAACCACAATCTTAACACTTCCACAATGAGGTTTTTGGAACAGATGTTCTGTGGGACCTTTTCTAGATCTTGCATTCTTTGATTGTTTAAAAAATAATTCAAATTCCATTGGGATGCTTTAACAGAAAATCTAACTGCTTCCTATTAAGAAGATATTTATTTTTGGAGGAGCAATGGTGTGCTCTAAACTTCATGGTTGTAACAATCTAGAAATAGAGACACAGAAGACAGTCACCTGATAATCATAGCATAGTATAAAAAAATTAATGCTCAACGATTCTCCTAAAGGAAACAACCATAATTTCAGTTTATAAGTTGTGATTCATCCAAGGAGATTCTGAAGAAACATTCTGTATACAACTCAGTGACAAGTTAATTATAGGGAACATATTGAGCCATCACAATAAAGCAGTCTATTCACACCATCACGCACAATGACCCCACCAAAACAATGACCCTAGCCACTGAGAGGAAGAGGGAAGTACAGAGAGACCTGATGAACAACAAAGGAAAAGAACTCTCGGTCTCTGAAGTAATAAAATGTTAAATATCACAGGATGACCTGAAGTTTTAGACCGAAATTTAGCAACCACCACAAAAGAATTGCTTTTCAATCCTTGGCAAGTGTGGCATAAACTGTAGATGGTTCTGAATACTTAGTTTTTCCAAATGTAAACCTTTAACACCCTATTTAGGATGAGAGCTTTACTTCATTAAATAGCATTATGAACTGAAGGGCTGGCTCTCGACTACCAAAAGTGGGCTTGTTTCTTCCTTTACGAAACATAAACCCTACAATCTGCAAAAAAAAGAGTACACTTGTATTAGCACAAAAGTAATCTGCATGATATAGAAACACAGTCCGACAGGAAGGTAAAATTCAGGTCATATATCCAACCTCTTTATTATGCTGACACAAAAATTAAGGCCCAGGATGATTATTTGCTTAGTCTCCCACACCCAGAGCATGATGAAACCAAAGCTAAAACTCAGGTGTTCTGACTTCTCAACAAAAGGTTAGCCATTTAGCAAAGAAAATGCTAACCCTCTCATTGAAACAGGTGATTTAAGAAATCCAGGCTGAATTACCTAAAGTGCTTATTCAAAATTTTTTATACTAGATTGAATAATTAAATTATCAAATAATTCAAATTATTTTAAGGGTATTTTTTAAAACACAATAAAAACTTTGTCTGATTTTTTTTTTTTAAGCAGAACCAAGACCTTTATAAATACAGGTTTCTCTGAATAGAATAATCATAATGGCAGTCAGTAACTTCAACTTGTGTCAATGTAATTACACATAAAATGCACCAGCGAATATACTGTGACACTCTTTTAAAGTTATTCCTGTTAAATTTATATTATATTGAAATTTTTAAACAATTTATTCAGAGTAGAATGGTTTTACAACTAAACCCAAAAGACAGCTGGTAGAAATTAAGCAGAACTTGCTTTGTATAAACTTTCTATCTCATACCTTCTTTTGGGGGCTGGAGGACTGGGGAAACATAGATGGAAATTGCACATTTTGAGCCTTAGGTAGGAAATGCTGCTTTAAATCTGAATCTAATGATTAATATTCTAGGAAGTCAATTTGGGGAATTTTGATATTAAGAAAAATATGTAATAATAAAAGACAATTACTTTATTTCATTACTCAAAGGTTTAAGCATAAATTTGTTGATATTTATGGCCACAAGAACCAAATTGTGCTGGTGAGTCATTTTACCTTCTCAGCATTCCGTCGAATTCTAGTTTCGCCCTCTCGCTTGGCATTTTCAACTTCTTTTAAACTGTGAAGAAAAGTAAACAGTTGGTCAGTTTATGGTTCAATCATATTTTCAGTATCCTCAGTCCTGTGCTACACACTTTCATATCCTCTGCTACAACTTGCTGAAATGATCCACTTACAAGAGACAAGCATTTCCCTGTCTTCAATGCCTGAGCCAGAGAAATTGCCAAAGATAAGGAAGGGTGTGAAACTGACTCACTGACAGTGAATTAGAAGCTTTGTTCTGTAAAACTGAATGGGTGTGACACCTTGATTGACAAACAGAAGACTGTCAGGAAAATTCCCTTTAACAGGCAGAACCAAGAGCTTTAAAATAATGCTGTGACATGGATGAAACCAAACTGAGCATTTGAGGTATTGCCATCCACACCCTTAAGTATAGCTTTGTATACCTTGTAAAGTATTTGTTTGCTTTCATGTAAAAGTACTAGGTTGTTAATGAAAGCTACATTTGAATTGAGCTTTAAGCCCTTTCAAATATATCATTTGATTAGAGTCTCATCCTGGAGATAGGTGTGGCTATTTCAGTTCCACAGAGGAAGAAACCAGGAGTTACACAGGTCAAGTTCCCCTTTTCACCTAATGTATGAAAAGAAAGAAAACCACACAATTAGGGCATATTTGAATACTGAGAGCACATGTCTCCTAGATAAGAAAGTGAAAATCAGACTGATTTCCTGTCTGGAAACCAGTTATCATCACCCTTTTGTAAACCTGATTGGATATGTCCTTGAATTCTACAAGGATTAACTGTAATTTTCAAAGGCAGGTGTAAAGTTTACTAATCTGTTAAATCTCTGTCCTGATTGCAAAGTTCCAGTGAGGTAAATATGGCAATTTAAGGCTTGCTGGCCCACAAATTAGAGAGTCTAAACCTTAACAACCAGAATATGAAAGACTGATTAGATCTTACTCACTTCTGCACCTTCAATGCCCAAGCACTGCCAGGCACTCAAATAAAGATTAACCCAATAGTTCTTCCTTTCATAATGTTCCATGTTCCACTTTTTAAGCTAATAATAGATGCAGACACATGGCATTATTACTATTATTATTTTAATTAGACTCACATTATTTAGTAAGGGTCTCTACACATGCCCAAATGAAGCAATGGATGTCAAAAGACTGACCTAGATCTTTCCATATGAATGTGGTTTCTAAATTTAAAAATATTTGGCCTTATAAAACACTATGCATTTTCAAACTATTGTCATTTAAAAGGCACAAAAGTCTTGAATTTAAAAACTAGCATGACCACCTTATTCTCTCTTTTTAAGAAACTTCAATCAATATGAAGAAAAAGAAAAGCTGTTCTGTGAGAAAGGCTATTTCACATTGTAAGGACAAAGAATTGCATGCTTCATGAACAGGATTTTATCTCCCTGAGGAGTGATTCTCAGGACAGCGACCAACTGCATAGTCATCAAGTCCACCTGGGGATGATGGTACTTACAACAGCTCGGCACACATCGCACACTTATTGCCATGTGTCTTCCCATCAGGACCGAGAACAGGATCATTTTCCCTTGTGCATCCAAGTCTTCCATCCACTACATAGGGCCGAAAAGCACTGCATACATCCTGAAGATCAGGGAAAGGAACTTGAGACTTTCCAAAACTGTAATGCTTACAATAGTTTCAGAAATTGTATAGAACTCAGTCCCTCTGACATTGCTATGGGCCACTTAGAGCAGTACCGGCTGTGTAGAAGTAGCTCAGTAAGTACTGAATAATTCATGTGGTTAAACAGAAAACTCTTTTACTTTTTTTTATTTGGGAAAATAACTTTTTATTTATTTCATTTATTTTTAAAATTTTTTTGATTTTAATTTTTTTTATTGTACTTTAAGTTCTGGGATACATGTACAGAACGTGCAGGTTTGTTACATAGGTATACATGTGCCACAGTGGTTTGCTGCATCCATCACCCCATCATCAACATTAGGTATTTCTCCTAATGCTACTTGTTTATTCATTTATTTAGTAAATAGATAACCTACTATGTGCCAGAACTCAGATAGCACAGTCATTTCCCCTCAACTTGCTCCCAGTCTCCTAGGTGATAAAAAGAGACATTACAAATAGCATGATGCTAAATGACTTGGTGGAAGTAACCTCAGGTGCTCTGGCAGCTTACAAAAGAGCCAGACCTTGAAAATTAGGAAAATCATTCACCTAGAAAAAGACAAGTTTGATATGTATGAGATCCTTTCTTCCTTCCCCTTTCCCTGCCATCACAGGCTCACAAAACTGCACCATAGGAAAAAAAATCTACTTAGTTCAAATTTCATTTTAGGTTAAGTAATTTGTCCAAGGTCTCCTAATAGCAAGTAACAATGTTACGGTTTTAACTCAGGCTAAGTGACTAAAGCGTTGTGCCCTTTCCATTACACATGTAGTTTCCTTTTTATTTCTTCTTCTTTCTTTCTTTCTTTCTTTTTTTCTTAAATAGAAAGCAGAAATAGAGTCAAAAGGTCTAACCACCAAGGTAATCTGATTCAGTTTAAGAGACTAAAAATAGCTTTTTCATATTAGTGGGCAGTATTGGGTATTCCATTTCACATAAAGCAAGAATTACTTACTTCCAAGGTTCCCACCCAAGAAGGAAGAGGAAAGCACCTACTTCCTATTGGAAGTTAGCCTCCCAGTATTTCCCACCACACTGATGTTTGAACTCACCTCCTGTGGATTACTGCTCTTACATTCCCCTTCAAATTTTACACCAATTTTGGACCCGGTTTTCCTAGAATTGAAAGCAGACACAGCAGTTTAATATTACAACTTCCCACCATGCAAAACTAACTGCTCTACATTGCATTGTCATTCGCTTTTGCTCCCCAAAACAGCTGCCACATTGTATTATTTTCTTACTTTTTCTAATAAAAGCCTCTGTTTATAACTTGAAGTCAAAGAAATGTAGTTAACATGGAAGAGATGGTAAAGATTCAGACTCGTAAATATTATTTATAGAAAATCTGTTTTTAACCTCTGTTTACAGGAGGAATACAAATCAGAAGATGAGGACAAGTAAAGCTTATAACTGGATAGTAGATACCCCACAGCTCCCAAGAAACTTTGTTGTTGTTGCTTTTGTTGTTTTGAATAAACAAAGTCAAATTTGTATTATCTAATATCCCGCTCTAATACCTTTTATTTGGGTTATGCAGACTAGTATTTTATTTTTCATAGAAAGTACATAAAGTTTTCATAACTAATTTTGTTCTAGTCGACCTTTAAGGTATATCTGAAAACACGGATCTGCAAATGTAGGAGATATTTCCTAATTTCTAAAAAGTTAAAGCAGATTACAATGATAGCATCTGTAAAACAATAAAAATTTAATAAAAATAGTATGAAGAACAAAACTAAATATTTACAAGTGATAAGAAAAAAGTTATTTCAAAGGATATCAGCTGAGGAACACTATAAAATTAAAATTTCAATTTTATTGCAGAGCCTCCTACCAGCCAGAGCTGCAAGGAAAACAACACGAGGAGAAAAATGATTCTCATTGCATAGTACAAAGAAATATACCAGAAATTAGGGGAGAGAAACTTTCACCTGGACCAGAGATTTAAAGATTTACAATGTGATTCCCCACATAAAACACAGTAAGAATATATAGCATGCTAATCTTGTGCTACAAAATATATATCTGATAAAAATCTGTATATTCTTCATATATTTATGTTGGTTTTCTGTTTCTCTCTGTTGACCCTTGGTGAGAGTTCAGGACATAATTTTTTTTTTTTTTTTGTACTTTAGGGTCCGGGGTACATGTGCAGATCGTGCAGAATTGTTGCATAGGTACACACATGGCAATGTGGTTTGCTGCCTCCAACCCCCCGTTACCTACATCTGGCATTTCTCCCCATGTTATCCCTCCTCGACCTCCTCACCCCCCTTGCTATCCCTCCCTTGCCCCCCTCCAAAAGACCCCAGTGTGTGATGCTCCCCTCCCTGTGTCCGTGTGTTCTCATTGTTCAACATCTGCCTATGAGTGAGAACATGTGGTGTATGATTTTCTGTTCTTGTGTCAGTTTGCTGAGAATTATGGTTTCCAAATTCATCCATGTCCCTACAAAGGACAAGAACTCATCGTTTCTTGCAGGACATAATTTTAAAGTGAATTTCTGACAGTACCATCATGCAAAGGATGAGAGTAGTTTAATGCAGTTTTATTTTGCTGAAAATATTTATTGTAAGGAGAGCTAAAGTTTGCAGAATCTCAAAAACTGAATAATTACAATGTCCCTCATTAGCCTATACAAACATTGGTTTTTATATTTGCAAAGCCTGAAGACCAGACAATTCAAGATTGAGGTCATAAGTCAGAACCTGCAAAGCCGGTATGTCATCTTGTTGGCGAAGACAATTGATAACCAAACCTAGCATTGAGGGTGGAGAAAGAACAAAACAGGGACAAGATATAGGACAGTAAAATGTCTTAGCTATTTGGTAAATGTTGAGAGATGGGAAGAAGTTTAAAATTGAAAGTCTCAATTACTCTGATATTATAAATTATTAAGCACTTAGTAAACATAATTTGATGATGAAATAATTCTCTGTGAAAAAGGATATACTCACAGATAGATAGACAATGAATAGGTAGAAGATAGACAGATGTGTATAGGTATATATGTATGTGTATCTGTATAAATATCTATAATATATATTATATCATATAATTTATATTTTATAGATTATAAAACATTAAATCTATGGTCTATTATAATATTAAATCTATATTTTCTTGTAGATTTTAAATGTGAAATACATAATATTTTATAGGTGAAAACATATAGTCTATAATCCCTCTATCCTCTCCAAAGTGATAACCATCTGATAAATCATACATAAAAGTACCTTCTAAAATATAAAGTGTTATGCTATATACCTTTATTGGTCTAAAGAGTAGTAAAAGACGTGGTACTAATAATTTAGGAATGGCTGACTCCCACACAATAAATTGTTGTCTTAAAGACTATAGGGAAAGCTGTGTCATGTAATTACAGAGAGAATATATTTTAGGGAGAAAGCCTACTTCAGAGAATACTCACACATTCTCAGCACACAGTTCACATCTGTTGCCATATGTTTTCCCATCTGTGCCACAAACAGCTTCATAAATATCAGGACAGATAAAATCCCCATCTCGTTCTCCTTTTTTAAAATCATCACAATTCAGCTGTGAAAGACATGATCAAGGAACATCAAAATATATAAGATACAAAATAGTCCTTAGATGTATAACTAGATTAACATTTTAAGCCCACAATTATGTAAATTGCTGGAGAAGAAAAACATATCATGGAGGCTATAGTAAGCTAATAAATTTATGGGCAATAAAACATGATCCAAGAACAGAGATAAAATTATATTGCAAAAGAAAGGATTTCAGTATCACTTAGGCTGTCTGGGTGAAGTGTGCCAAGTCACCTCTCTGAAACTTGGCATACTGCTTGCCTGCCCAATCTGCCTGCCTTTTCCACAGATGAGTAGTGATGCTCAGTATATTATGAATATGAAAGCTCTTTGTTTGTAGTTTACAAACTGCAAACTACAGTAAAGTTTCTGTTATTATAAATTAGAATAGTACTTCACAGCTGGATTGCTTGTTTCATATTCCTAAGTCTACCACTTTAGCTGTATGACTTGGACAAGTTATTTTTAAATAAACCTTATGCTCTAGTGTCCTCATTTGCAAAATGGTTGTAATTTCATCAACCTCTCAGCAGTATATAAGGATTTAAATGTATAGCACTTGAAACAGTGCCTGGCACAGAACCATTTGTTGTTATTGTTGTTGTTGTAATTTTCAATGTTTTTTTCTATTGACAAGCCAAGAAAACTAAACGTCTTTAGGTAGAGAGGAGAAAGCCCAAGTCTCTATACTAATAATATGACGTATACTTTGGAACAAACCTGAATGGTAAAGAAAAACAAATGAACAAGGTAGGAACTGAAGAGTAGCGTACAAGTCTCAGACCTGCCACCCACACACTTCACCTCTTTGCACCTCACTTTCCTCATCAAACAAATGGAAATTCACACCCTACCCACATTCCAGATTTGCCATAAGGATCAGATGAGTTCTTATGAAACATTATCTGGCAACATATTCTTATGACTACTAAAGCTATTAAAAAAGATAGAGAGTTAACTTGACTTTAACTTTTATCTAAAACTATTTAAAGAAAACTGAATAATTTTCATTAAAATATCACATTGAAAAATATAATTTCATGTCGTCAAAATAAAGACATTTTAATGATAAATATGAAACACTTAGAATGTAGACCTACGGTGAATCAGCATTTCACACAATATAAAGAATAAAAGGTGGATACAGAAGATCAAGTTGAGAAACTCTTATCTAGAAGGAAAAGAACTGAAAATAGAAAAGAAAAGCTAAAGAACATACTACAATATTCATATGTTTAGAAAGAAGTTAAAAATAGATTGAAACTAAGGTAAGTAGTACCCATATATGTTATTTCATTCATTCATTTGTTATTTCTTACACACAATTTACTACACATTATCTATGCTTCAGCATTCTTCGGGACTGTGAAGCTACTACAGGGGTGGTAGAAACCAGACTCTCCTTTTTAAGGAATGGACAGAAAGAAGGGAAGTCTGACTGAAGCATAAAGAAAAAGCAGGTTACTGGTTTTCTCTCAAAAATCGTTCTACCGAAACTGTAGAAGCATCTGGAAATTATAGATCAACTTTAACTCAAAACAATCACTGCTTCCCCCGCTTCACCAGAAAATCAACAGCAACATACTAACTAGGTCACAGGTGTAGACAGAGCAAGTCAAAAGGCCAGCTGGGAGATGATGAAAGCAGGTGCAAGGATTTACAACTCCACCTCCTTCCCCTCCAAACCCCAAGGAGAAGGATCACAACCTACAGAAAACACCCCTTCCTAACGTTGACAGTGGCTGAGAGCTTACAGATGGATTCCTGACCTGGTGAGTGGCAGCAAACTGGAGTGGGAAAGAATGGATTCAGAACCTCCAGCTCTGGGTCTTGTCTCTTTTTCTAACTTTAAACTCACCAAAAGGGCTACAGACTGAAGCTTGACCTTGAACATTACCTAACTACAGTTAGCAGAAAAAATAAATACAGCTGTTATGAAATCTTACAATAAAAATATCCATGTATCCGAGAATTAAAAATTGGATATATTAAACAACATGTATCAATTGAAGTAGAAGCATTGGAATGGGTAGAAAAATATTTTATCAAGTCTGTGCTATAGAAAAATAAGAGAAGATATCTGCATAAACAAGTATAAAACAATAACAAAAAAGAAGTTATAAAGGAAGAACGAAGTAGAAATTTTGAATGTGGAAAATATTCAAATGATAATAAATCTAACAGTATAAATAATAAAGATGGGATAGCTACAAATAAATAATGAACTTGTAAACCAGATGATCAGGTCAAGAAATTCTCTTAGAAGGCGAGGGAAGTAAGGAACGTTTTTTTCTAAAAAAGGAAAAGCCAAAGAATATTTAAAATAGTATTAGAAGTCTCCAAAAGAAGGAAATAAATATAGAAGTAAATATTTGAAGAAAGGAACAATTTCTAAAATTAACAAAAAATAAAAGAATTAAAGAGAGAAAAACAAGAATTTAAAACTAAAATCTAGTTAATAACAAAATTGTGTTTATAGAAAATAAACAGAGAGTAAATTAACATACATTCAGAGAGAGACAAAGATACTGACAATAGACACAGATATTCGCAACAGAATAAGTAATTAAGAGTATTGATGATTTGGTTAACAATAGTCGTAGTCAGAACAAAAATAAATCACCACCCAAAAAAAGCTAGAAAGAAGAAACTACTAAGTATAGTAACTGAAAATATTTTTTAAATGGAAGAACCAAGTCCTACTATAACAGAAATAACAGTAAATTTAAATGGGCTAAACATACAATTAAGAGACAATTGGTAATTGGATGTTTCAAAAAAGGAATCAAATTATGTATTGAGAAAAATTAAAACTAAGAGCATGCTAGTATCAAAAGAATAAGATAATAAAAATATACAAGACCAAAATGAATAAGAAGAGAGCATATGCAGCAATATTAACACTAAAAACTATAATTTAGTACAAAATGCATTATAAGTGACAAAGAATGACAATATATGAAATTTCTAAAAAGACAACAACAAGAACAGGAAAGTATAACAATCATGAGCATATATTCACCTAATAATAAAGACTTTAAATATGTCAAACAATAACCAATAAAATGTAATTGAATTAAGGCCTGGTATGGTAATCCCAGCACTTTGGGAGGCCAAGGCAAGCAGATCATGAGGTCAGGAGTTTGAGACCAGCCTGACCAACATGGTGAAACCCGGTTTCTACTAAAAATACAAAAATCAGCCAGGCATGGTGGTGTGCACCTGTTATCCCAGCTATTCAGGTGGTTGAGGCATGAGAATTGCTTGATCTCGGGAGGTGGAAGTTGCAGTGAGCCAAGATCATGCCACTGCACTCCAGCCTGGGGAACAGAGCAAAACTCCATCTCAAAAAAGAAAAGAAAATCAATAACTAGAGTTAGGGATTTAACCAAACACTTCTCAGAAATTTATATATAAAGCAGAGAAAAAAAGAATATTAAGCCATTACATTTTTATAGAAAACTACAGCGAAGAAACAGAAAATAAACTTTTTTAAAAATAATATATTAAATGTTCATAAAAGAATATTTGTTAGGTCACAAAGTCTTAAGAAACAATATATAATTGATACTACATCATTTATGTTGTCTGACCAAAATTTAATAAAATTAAAAGCTAATATAAAATATTTAAAAGTTCCACATATTTGAAAATTAGATACTTTATTACTGAATAACTTTGGGGTTAGAGAAATTAAGAAATGTTTGGAAAATAATTATAAATAGAAACACTTAAAATACAAATTTTGAGATGATTATTAACATCTTTAAATACATATGTCAGAAATTTTTTAACAATTAAATTTAAAGAATAAAGTATTCCTCAAATCCCATTGTAAAATGAGCAGGAACAAACATAAAGAAACAGGAATTAATGCCACAGAAAACAGAAACAATTGGGATTATTATCAAAAAAGCTGATATAACAGATTTCACATAGGACATACCAAAGAGAAAAGTAATATGAAAAGTAAAAATATATGGAATGATAATTTAAAATAATCATATAAATATTGAGACATTAATACAATGAAAAGCATTTTATGAGTATTACTATGTTAATACATTTGAGAACCAAATTGAATATATGACTACAAAAAGTGTAAAATAACTAAATTTGTTACACAGGTCAATAAACATTAATCCAATTGACATATTGGTCTGAGATATTCCCACCCCAAAATAATTCAGTTCCAATAGCTTTATAATCTGTTTTTCTGAAACTCTAGGAAAACTTGTATTAAGTAATAATTGTTTACAAGTTATTTCAAAGCATTACCAGTACATAAACTGAAAAATAAAATCCAAACAGCTTTATTGAGGCATTACTTAAATACTATAAAATTCACCAATTTAAATTGATTTAAAGTGATTGAATGATTTTTATTAAATGAATAGTTGTACAACCATCATCAGAACTTGGTCTTAAAGTATTTTTATCACCCCACGAGATTCCCCTGGGCTCTTGTACAGTATGTCCCAGCTCCCAGCTTCAGTTTCAAGCCATCATTAAACGTTTCTCTGACTCTATATAATTTTTCTTTTAACATTTCCTGTAAATGGAATTACAAATCTGTAATTGTTTAATTCTAGCTTTTTTCACTTTGCATAGTATTTTTGAGGTTCATCCATATTGCAAAATTGTCAGCAGCACATTCCTTCTTATTGTTGAATAATATTTCATTGTATAAATATAGTTCATTTTGTTTATCCATACACCAGTGGACAGATGGACATTTGGATTGTTTTTAGTTTAGAACTATTAAAATAATGTTGCTATGAATATTCACATGCCTGACTTTGTATGGACATATATTTTCATTTCACTGAATTCCTAGGACTGATTTTTCTGGATTATATGGTAAATCTGTTTAAATTTTTAAGTCTCAAACTGTATTCCAATGTAGCAGTAACTTTGTACATTACCCCCAACTATCTATATGTGTTCCAGTTTCTCCACATCCTTAACATCTTGTATTTTCTC